CTTATTTATTTTGAATGTCAACTGGGTTTTTTTTAAACAAATGCTTTTACATACAAACGTGTCTATTCCTTTTAGAAAGAATCCAAAGGAATGGTTGATATTTTATGTACCTACATGTTTGTAAAAAGGATTTTTCGTTACTTAGTATATTTTTTACAGAAGCCATTCTCATTGACTGACTTGGTGGCACTAGAGTTAGCGCTCTAGACTCCTGGATTGAGGATTCAATTCCCACATGAGGTAAGCATTCGTGTAATGAATAGACTTGATTGATCTTAGTTTGGGTATTTCCTATGTAAATTTTTATATTTCAGCGTAAAAAATTATGTATGTCACTCTCTAATTCCCATAGTAAACGTAAATAAATACAAATAAATTACTTTTAGATCCATCATGTAGGTACCCAAAATGTATTCCTTAAATTAAATTAAAAATTAAATTAATCTAAATTATTTGCTCACTGTATGCACATAAACGCTCGAAACTTGATTGTGAAAACTGTGATTTTATTATTACATCATTATTTTCCTACACCCATTGTTGCGTAATCATATAGCTGTAATTGGCTACGTGGTGTTTGGTTTAAAATTATAGTAACAGACTTCTTCTGTAGATTTCGTACAAAAGATTGGCCGAAATGACAGTATTCTCTGAGTATTAAACAAGGAGTTACTGATAGAGCTTTTTTATGCTGGGAATGCTGTTGGCCCAAAAGCTTTCACGGGAAGGACGGGCGAATCCAAGAGATCAGCTCTAATAACTGCCCGAGCATCTCCGAAGTAACCGAAATGGTCCGCGACTTGAATTGGAATCGCAAGAAGATCCGGTGAGATGTTACCTTAAATGCTTCGACGAGAGCGGTGACTTATGCTTTGGCTGTCGATAGGGTCAAAGATCATGTCAGCTGCCATAAAGAGGTCTTTAGTATGCTTAAAACATCTTAAAAGTGATTGTGGATGCGTCAAAAATCATCGCGCAACTTTTACCCCAGTAAGATATTAAATTTTGAGGATTAAACAAGTTGGAAAACGCCAGTAAAATCACGACGACTACCTAGATAAATATTAATAAATACGTAATATGATGACAAGCTAACTGATAAACAACAAGGAAATCGTAACATTTGAACGAACTTTTTTACCTAAGATTAAATACGTAAACTCCAGAACCTTGTACTTCCACGGAATGACATAAATAATTCCGTATTACATCAACAGCTCAGCTTCCTTATAGAGATGGGTGCCGGTGAAATATTGAAGACATTTAAGAAATTAATTAACCACGTAAACGGGGCTCCGTTGTTGGATTTTTTTATCATAGCCTTGGCATAATTTGTTTGATGCTGTACCGCGCCGCCTCCAGTGAAACTTGTTTAACAACTTATATAAGGAATTTTGTAAGAGTTGATTCATTTAGTCGGTCTTTCTTATAACGTCAAGTAAATTAGTAGATAATAAATAACGAACTTAATTTGTTATGTGCAAATTAGATGGCGGAGTTTGTAGTATATATGTATCTAAGTAACAATTATATGCATAATATCAAAAGTAGTATATAATTGAATTTGTCATGATATTTTCGGCCAGCAACACGCTTTTTGTTTCTTGTTTGATTTTTTATGGCTCAGATAGATGGACAAACTCACAACTTATCCGATCTAAAGTGATTACGGGAGCCCATAGACATTGACAAAGTAAATACTGTCGCCCATTTTGAGATATGAGTTTTATGTGATATAATACAACAGCTGCCCTTACAATCTGAAACGCATTACTGCTCTCCCTTACTGCTCGGCAGAAATAGGCAGGTTGATTGTACCTACCCGTGTGGGCTCACAGACGCCGCACAAATTATAGTTGTTTACTGCTTCTAACATTAGTTCCACTGGTATTTACACTACTTTATTGGTCTAGTAACTACTGACTGACCTGACTACTACACCACGGTGTGCTAATATGATTTTCGGTTAAAATCAATTAGCTTACAAAATATGTTACGCTATGTTCTAACTTGGAGCCGCTGGGTGTAGAGCATTTATGTACTTCATATTTCTCTTCCGTCCGTAGCAGTAGCTTCAGTTGCTTATTTTATTGCATCAACTGTCTTACTAATTGCTCTCTACTTTGACAATTGAAGGTCTATAGTTTGTATAATACTACTGGTCTGGTTTAGATTGAGGTCTAGATAACTTAATTTTGAGTTTGGTGTCTAGAGATCAATAGCTTTAATTGAAAACCGAAGGTGAAGTTGTTGGATGGTTTCAATTATCTTCTATGTAAGTACCACTTATTTCAAAAAAGTTGGGCCATAAATCGGGCGATTAACGCCGGTTATAAAACTGTAGGTTGTAACTAAAATATGGAGATTCCGCCGAGCCCTTCGTCTAATAAAAAGGCAAGAATGCGCACTATTGCCCTCATTGATTAAATCGTAAATAAAATCAAAATTCATCATCATCAACTTTCATCGTCATCTTTCTTCTTCATCTTTCTCACCATTTAAACAGTAAATTTGGATATAAATCTTACATTTTTTTCACTCGTTTCCCCAGAATAACTTGGCTGTGTACCGTTAAGTGTAAAAATATTAATATAATTATCACGTATTTGGTTTGTTATTGGAGCACTTTAATTTCAATAGCTCAAAGGAAGTGTTTGTTTGTATCCATCACCATCCGGCTTTTATTTCTCACAAATACCGCTTATAGATTTCAATTAGTACTAATATACTTAAACTACAGAGTTTATTTCGATATCAAACCTAGGAAATGTTGTCTAAGTATTTGTCTGAATTTATTTGTATTAAGCATTGTATTGTCTATAACCGTATTTTAACGGAATGTTTATTATCTTAGAAGAAGGAAGAATGTATGTACGACTTATCTGTTGGAGAGTGATTACCGTTGCTAATGGACATTAACAATGCCAAGGACATACAAGGGCTCACCTTTAACCATTAAGTTTGTATTTAAAACTAAAACTTGTAAATAAAAAGGATATCTATAATAAATCGATTTTAGTAACATGACCAACTTTTGTCGAGGCTTATCATTTAGGCCACGGCGACTTCATACTCCGACCAGAAGTTGAACAACAAATCCGTATTTACTATAGATTAATTAAAATCAAATACGATGCAATTTTGTTCATAAACAGTAATATGTAAACGGTATTTTAAAAAATTCCATTGCATGTACAAATTAAAAGATTTGCCTTCCTGCACGAAACAGTACTACACGGACTTTGCGTAATTGTGTTACAGATATCATTGTTTGCAACGACACATCGAACTACCAGCAAAACACGTTTAAAGAAAACTATGTTTTATAGAGTTTTCTTTAAGAATCTTTATAGTATAACATTATTTTTCTTGATCAATTCATAAGTAAACGCAGTATGCAGCACGGAAACGCATTGCTTTCTAACGCACTGGAACACGTGTTTTTGCTTAATGAATTTGATTTGAACGAACGGGAAATCTTTCGGAATATCCTGTGAAACCAGTTTGATCGTGATATCCGTGCCGTTTTAGTTAAATGTTAGCACATCCGCCATTACACGAGACATTGGCATTTCCAATTCGCATAATAAATATCTCAGCGTATTTATAACAATAAAGTAATTTATTGAAATATTAACCTGCATGTGTTTTTTTTAATTTAATTGAAATTAATTAAGTTTAGAGTTCAAAAGGTATTCCAACAAAAAAAAACCCTTCAGCAAATCGTCAGCGAATTTATTATTGTTGAAAGAAGACTCAATGTGTATGAAGTTTTTTTCCTACCTATGCTGATAGCCTTGGGAGGCTATAACAGCGTTACTCTAGCGTGTAGGTGAGCTCTTGGGGCTCAAACCGGAGTGGTGCTAACACTGGCCCTAGCAAGAGCAGTGCTTCGCAGAATCTACCACCGGATCAGAAACGCGACCCACTGAGAAGATCCGGCTCAGGAAACTTAGTGGGCTGTGTCATGGGTTGTATGAAGTGCCCGGCCAGCCATTCTATTCATTATTTCGTGCTCTATTGTCTCCGCTTGTCTTTTCTAACTGTTAGGATTATTGTTGCACTTGTTTTCAGATCCGCTTAAGGCCCATGACGTTAAATAACATCCTGAGCGTCCGTAGACCTGGCCACAACCTTAATACGATATCGAAATATGAAGTTGAAGCCTCAGTTTCATTGGATGACGCTGTCTTTCCATTCAAACGGAAACATGACTGCTTCGCGGTCGATATAGGCGGAATGGTTCTTTTTCTTGTTGTCGCACCTTGAGAATATCAAACTACATGGCAACTTTTTTTTTATTGCTTAGATGGGTGGACGAGCTCACAGCCCACCTGGTGTTAAGTGGTTACTGGAGCCCATAGACATCTACAACGTAAATGCGCCACCCACCTTGAAATATAAGTTCTAAGTTCTCAGTATAGTTACAACGGCTGCCCCACCCTTCAAACAGAAACGCATACTGCTTCACGGTAGAAGAAATAGGCAGGGTGGTGGTACCTACCCGTGCGGACTCACAAGAGGTCCTACCACCAGTAATTACGCAAAGTATAATTTTGCGGGTTTGATTTTTATTACACGATGTTATTCATTCACCGTGAAAGTCAATCGTGAAGATTTGTTAAGTACGTATTTCATTAGAAAAATTGGTACCCGCCTGCGGGAATCGAACACCGGTGCATCGCTCAACACGAATTCACTGGACGTCTTATCCTTTAGGCCACGAAGACTTCAACATGAAAATAATTTGTAGCAATGCTCATCCACCATGCAACAATCTTCTGCAAACATTGCCATCATTATAATTTATTATGAACAAAGCTAGTGAAACCACTGCGCAATGGAATCAACAAGGTGTAACCATATCACGGTCTCAACCATTGTTTTGCCATCTATCAAATTGTCAAACATAACCCCCCTACATGGATGTTATTTTATAAATCATACCTACTGCATGTAACCGTCCACTTCACTTCTATCTTAAGGGTGGGCTCTGTGTCCGTATGTAACAGTGACGTCATGATCAAAAGTCATGATTTTCGCATATTGTTTTCGATTTTCTTGTTGGCCCGAAATGTGTGTTCGTTATCTCAGGCCAGTTTAAATGATCATTTAATACGTTACGATTTTGAGGAAGACGGCACCGTGAGTGATTTTTTTAACTAATTGTATATTTGTAACTACTTAGCTATTATATTTGTCATTTAAAAACATTCTAAATACCTGAATCACGAAAATAATATTTTACTCCTGTTGTTTGACTAGCAGCTTTATAAAGAAAGTAAGCGTGACTATAAATTAGCCTGGTTAAAGCTTCATTCTTACCTATTTGATACGCGCTTATGTCAATTGAAAACATGAGTGGACGAAGGGGTTAAATACAATTTTTTTTATTTCTGAGTTTTTACATTGTATGAAGGTGTTATGTGCCTATAAACCATATTAGACCTTAAAACTCGGGGTTTAAAGGCTATTTTTAGAAATTGCATGTGATGAAGAAGTTGTGTACGAAGAAAAACTACAAGTGATAAAATTTTGTTGCCCGTTTTCTCAAAAATAGCAAATTGTATCAGATCCCCTTCATCCACTCGTGACTTCAATTTTGTGACATAATATTTTTTAACCCTTAATTTTTTTATTTATCAACTAATTTGTATGAAAAGTATTCGTCAAAGTCTAATTTAATCCAGTAGTGAAATTCATACTCAAATTAGTCCCAGTTTCATGATTTTTTTTTCTATATTTAAGAAACTAAAAAAGGCGATTGCATGCAGCAGAGATGCGAATGTTGCGATGGATGTGTAGAGTAACGAGAATGGATAGAATAAGGAATGAATATGTGAGAAGAAGTCTGAAAGTGGCACCTGTGACAGAGAAGCTGAGGAGTGCGCGTTTGGGATGGTATGGACATGTGATGAGACGAAATGAAAATGAGGTTGGTAAGAGAGTGTTAACTATGAATGTGGAAGAATATAGAGGAAGAGGTAGACCTAAGAAGAAATGGATGGATTGTGTGAAAGACGATATGGGTAAGAGGGGAGTGAGCGAAGAAATGGTATATGATAGAAGAGTATGGAAGGAGAAAACATGTTGCGCCGACCCAGGTGACTGGGAGAAGGGCAGGATAATGATGATTAAGAAACTAAAATTATACATAAAATTATTTTGTTTTAGAATTTAACAAACATCGAAACATTACAGAAAGATGCAACGAAATATGCAAGTTTTGCACCACCGAGGCGTCACGTTTCGCTTAAGGTTGGTCGAAATTTGATTCGTTTCTTATAAATATTCAATTAGAATCGATTAACTTATATGTTTAGTTTTTAACACGCATTAGTTCTCTATGCATTAAATTTTATAGATTAACTATGACTAAAACATATTTCTATTGTGACAAAGGAGGTTTATAATCTAACTAATATCATAACGGCTTGAAGATCTGAAATGTAACCTGAACAAAAACTCTCAATTAGCCTTGAAGATACCACACATCAGCGAGATTTAAAAAAAAAATTAGGAGGAAGAAACTTGGACATTTTTTAGTGCCCTTGTAGGCAGACGAGCATAACGATGGGTTTTTTTATATTTGAGACATTACTGGTAGCCTGGAGGCTTTTCCAATTTTACTAGGGCAGGTGGACGAGCAAGGGCTCAGCCAGGAGGGTTGGATTTGCTAACAGTTACCCGAGCGCCTCCAGAAGAAATCTAACAACTCAACAGTAGCTGCTTCGTGAATGAATCTACTACCGGATCGGAATCACTACCCGCTGAGAAGATCCGACAAGAAACTCAGGGGGCTGATGTTCAGGTTAGGTTGCACGGTTACCGGGGTCCCTACTCCTAGTGTTAGAGCTAAAGGTGTCTAATGCAAGGGTTATTGGATCTGATGGACCCCTGATGGTAAAAGGTTACCGTCTTCCATGGACTTCAGCAATGCCAGGGGCAGAGCCAAGCTGCTTCCTACCATATATGTTTAGTACCTTCTTCAGTTTTCGTGAAACGTTGACGTAAATAATAAATGCACGAGATTAAAGTATAAAAGTAGTTTTAATTATATTTACAGTTTCTTCACTCGAACGTTAAATTTAACCCAAAAAGTATAATGCACTTGTACGCAAAAAACTTGAATGCAATCCTGAGTTCGCTGTTGCTCGGAACACAATCGGAACACAAATTATTAAAATTGAAATCACTTTTAATGATACCATCAAAAACATAGATAGAGCTAAATTTTTATAGAATCCGAAGTGATTTGAAAGAATAAACAGAATCAACTGCGCCTGTGCAATCTTACCTACTAACTGAAATTGGGGCCCATCTAATTATTGCGACAGCTATGACATTAATGTTGTTGTAAGCTGGTGTTGTTCATATAACAGTATCCAAACTGATGGAAAGTAGTTAAATAGATATTAAATTGGTCCTGTTTTGAGTTTTGAGAGTGTCAGAACAAGTATATATAATACATTACACTGCTGAAGCGATGATAGAAACATCGCTCGCTTGGCCCACATTTCCGATAAACTTGGCACGACGGAAGTGACTCAACAGCCAGCCGATACATAAAATGTATAATGAATACATTATTCTAAATAAAAAAATATTATCCATTCTAATTCCCATGATTGTTTGAGTAATTATAACATCGGGGATGGTGCATAACTGAAAGTCTTTTCCCATGACGACCGCGACCTTCCTCGCCGTCAGATCACGATCAGTTCTTGGTATGTGAATAACCGTTTAGAGCATTGAAGACGAGAAAGAAGAATTTGAATGATTCATATTTTTCATGCACCTATTTTATTTATGTTTAAACATGCTGTGCGAATAATATGCAAAAAAACAAAGAAATTTTCTATTTTAATAGTGAAATTATTTAGCGTTGGGAATCCTCATGAAATTTTAGTTTTACTATTTATTTAGCGTGATATCTACGTATTTCAATAGCAATACAAACGTTGAAATACTCATTGTAGGAAATTATACTCGTAGAATAATAACAAAAGTAACTTTCTTACATTTGTTATTAAAAACTTTTAAATAAAATTTAGTAACTAAAAGTAAAAGTACAAGCTGCACACGAAACAGACACCGAAGGGCCGTGAGAAGGGAAACACGAACTATCTTATGTCGCCATCGAACCAGAAACAAATGTAGTGCCCTAATCGAATTCAATTATTTGGAAAGGAAATGCCCTTTTAACTGCAATTCTTCGAGTTTACGTTTGGGCTTCTCTACCTATCTCTCTTTTTCTTTCGGCCCAAAGACGTCCACTGATGGACATAGGCCTCCCCCATTAGGAAATCTCTATGTGCTTAAATAGACAGAGATAAAACAACTGAGTACCATTGAGTACCAGTATTGTGCTCCTACCCTACAGACCAGAACGCATAACTGCTTCGCGGAAGGCAGGATGCTTCGTACCTTACGAACCCGTGAATTTTTTCCTACCTATTCCGAACGCGCTAGTTTTTTCCTACCTTCCTACCTATTCTAGTAACCTCGAGGGGTTATTCTAGATTCACCGAGCTAGTAGGTGAGCTCACGGGGCTCAAACCGGAAGTGTTGCTAACACTGGCCCTAGCAAGAGCAGTGCTTCGCAGAATCTACCACCGGATCGGAAACGCGACCCACTGAGAAGATCCCCCAGCGAGAAACTCAGTGGGCTGTGTCTATGGGTTAATTTGCTCGTCGAGCCCTTCGTCGCAAGCGACAGGTTCGGCGAGGACGGTGACCGGACCCGTGCATGCTTACTATACACCGTACCAGTTAAGTAAGCGTTCTACTGCACTATTTCTACTGCAATACTAATATGTTATTTTTATTATTTATAAAACGCTTTTAAGCACCCTCTAGATTAAATGCTTTTAGTGTTTACAATTGGAGTTCTACACAAAATAATTAAGTTATGAATTAATACAACTGGTGGTAGGACCTCTTGTGAGTCCACACGGGTAGGTACCACCACCCCGCCTATTTCTGCCGTGAAGCAGTAATGCGTTTCGGTTTGAAGGGTGAGGCAACCGTTGTAATTATACTTGAGACCTTAGAGCTTATATCTCAAGGTGGGTGGCGCGCTTACGTTGTAGATGTCTATGGGCTCCGGTAACCAATTAACACCAGGTGGGCGGTGAGCTCGTCCACCCATCTAGGCAATAAAAGAAAACCGGCTTGTAGGCTCAGCAGATCTTCAGGCTTATCAGCAGAAGAGGAGCTTTTCTAACCTGCTTATGTGAAACAACATTTGTTTATATTTGTGATTTAGTTTTATTTATTGTTTCTTCAGGTTTAAATGTGTAATAACGGTGGTTTATTAACTGTTTAGTATCTGTGAAAGTGCACAAATGTGGGAAAATAAAACAAAGACAAACAAATAACGTAGCTTCTCGAGATCCTCCAAAAAGTCCACTGAAAAAGTCTCCGTAAATAACCACTATTTTACAGAGATTATATTTTATCCCATATCATCTCATTTAATTTCATGCCATGCCATTTTCACTTCATATTATCATTTTTCATATATAAAAAAGTTATAGTGCAGTTTTCTTTTAAAATAAGACTTGACCTAAAGGTCTTAGTTACCAGGTCACAAAATCCTTTAAAAAATACAACAAGGTAAACGCTGAACATCTAGAGCGTATCAATGAATCACAATTCCATGTTTCCAGGAAACGCCGGACAATGCACTATCCAGTGCCAGTCACAGTCGAGGGTTGCTACACCAAGAGCACTCAGGTCAGACTACTACTAGACTTTTTTTTTCTGATGACATTCAGAAATTACCGATTCATTTTGTTATTTCTTAATTGTCTTCGAATGCAAACGGGTATACTAAACACAGGATGATGAGTGGTTAACATCGCTTATGGATATCAACAAAAGTAGGTGTACAGCCAAACCGCCGTCTACCGCGGAAAACTCTTCTCCAATCTCGTTCGAAGAAGGACATGCCTTAGCGCTCGCACAACAAACTGGAGACGTAGAAAACTATAAATGGATCATGTATGAAAGCAGTGGTTCCAGAGACCCGTCATAAACTATGCTTCAGAGCCTTTTACTCCAATGGCAAAGAGATAATAGGATAATCTCAAAACATTCTTCAGAGAGAGAAGCAGTAACTTCATAAAAATATGGTGAAGTCCTAGCGTTGTATGAAGAGAATTCGAAAGATTTTGTTAATTCCTAAATCATACGAACACACTCATTACCCGATGGAAATTGATATCGTCATTCATTAACTGTCTATACAAAAACTGCGAACATAGCTCAATTGATTTGATTTCAATATATTTATCATTTACATTTGCAAGCACAATAGACGGTTGTTTATATTTATAAACTCTGTAATTGTCAGTATCATTGTCTGACTGTCTTTATTTATTAGATCAGCTTGAGAAACAATTTGAGCATGGCAATAAAAATGGATTGACGAATCGAATGATAATGAATTTGGTGCTATTATTATCTTACTGCTATATTTTTTCTGATCTCGTCAATTTCACGTCACTAGATCTGTTTGTTTAATTTTAGCGTTAAATCTCTTAATTCTTCCGTCAGAATTATATACACAAGATTCACTTAGGGTTTAGGGTAGATAAAATTAAAACTACTTTTACGGTTTAATTTCTTATTTTTATTCATAATTATATTATTTCCGACGTGTCGAATACTTTACAGTTTGTAGTGACGTATGTTCGTGAAAGAAAAGTAAAATTTGTAAATAATTGATTATTGAAAAATAAGACTATTATTATCAGTTACTGTTATTACCCGGACGGGTACATCTAGTTTGTGATAAAAACCGTATAATAATAATTCTTCGCTAGGCATTTAAAATTAACATTATTATTTCTCACCCCCACAAAGATTCTCCTCATTAACGCCCCCGCAACTGGTGTAGGGAGTTCAACACTCATATAAATATCAGCCTATCCATTAAGTACATGTATTTTCTACATGGATACCAAGTTTCAAGTCAATCGGATGCACGGTTCAGTAGTTATCACTTTAGTTGTGCGTGAGCATGAAAACTGTTTAGTATTAGAAACGTCGGAAATAATAATAATAAAAACGAGAGATTAAGCCTTTTAATCAAATTTAATTATTTCACAAGCAGTGTATTGTTTTTAATCAGGTTATGCATTAAACGAATACGAAGAAACGCCTTACGTTCATGGCATCGAGTACAATGTTCCAGATGAACATTCGGTACCTTATGATCATAAGTATTATGATCGTGAGCCTCACCATTACGCCCCACACTATTTGGAACACGGATACCATTACAAGCCTTATAATCACGTAAGTTTTTTTTTGTATAGCTTACATGGGTGGACGAGCTCACGGCGCACTTGGTGTTAAGTGGTAACCGGAGCCCAGAGACATCTACAACGTAAATACCTTGAGACATGAATTCTAAGGTCTCACTTTTAACAGTACAACGGTTGCTCCATCCTTCAAACCGAAACGCATTACTGCCTCACGGCAAAAATAGGCAAGGTGGTTGTACCTACCCGTGCGGACTCACAAGACGTCCTACCATCAGTTAATAAAACCAGTTAATATTTGTTTAAAACAAAATCAAATTTATTTCATTTATTGATATGTATTTTTTCCTCAGTTTTACCACAACATGATTTAATTTTTATTATAAAACAATTACGTTCTAATTCTAGGTACCGCATTCATAGTTTTATAAATATATTTCCATTTGCCAGTTCATGAACCAGTATGATAAACTTAAATTAGTCTAATTTTGAATTAATGAAATAATTCATAAATTATACTAATACCTAATGTTAAATGACAGCAACAGTAGGTACAAAGGCTAAAACTTACTGTATAAAAGATTTATTAGTGTCAACAGAAACAAACAGATCGTTTTTATTAAATTTACAAGAAGAAACTATAAGTTTGTTATGTAAGCTTGTGATACAAACGGGTCAGAACCAAACAAAAAAAAAACCTTTATGCGTTAAAATATTTCTAAAAAAATATCCAATGTTGATCGATATAAGCAAATTCAGGTTTCCAATTGCAAAGCCATAAAATCACTTTTCAATAATCGACGAAGCAAACGCCTGATAAGTCCGCTTAAACCTACGGGTTATTTATGAAGACAAGAAATAGTAGTTTTAGCATGCTATTAACATCTCTGAGTACTATGAAGGAAACAGTACTGAAGGCCTTCCTTTAACCGCATTTGTTTAATATCTTACGTACGTGGTTAGATTTTTGTCACATTTAATCAGGATATTTTCAGAGGGAATTTTTACTGGGCGCGGAAAAAGACAGAGGCGATCGTTTTGGAGTTTTTTTTTCTACCTAAGCTTATAGCCTTGAGAGGCTATTTCAGCGTAACCTTAACTAGTAGGTGAGCTCACGGGGCTCAAACCTGACGACGTTGCTAAGACGGACTCTAGCAAGAGCCGTGCTTCGCAGAATCTACCACCGGATCGGGAATGCGACCCACTGAGAAGATCCGGCGAGAAACTCAATGGGCTGTGTCTGTGGGTTAATTTACTCGTCGAGCCCTTCGTCGCAAGCGACGGGTTCGACGAGAACGATGACCGGTGCTTGAGGTACCTAAAAGCACCGTTAGTGGATCGGGAGGATCCGAAATGACGTGTTTTGGGCGACGTCGACTGCTTTTCATTCTGTCCGCAGGATCGGGAATGTAGTTACCAGCGGCCACGATGAGAGGGTTCTCGTGACGTTTGGAGAAACCGAGACACTTGAATATGGTCAGAGCAGTAGACGTCTTTCGGCTATTAACGATAATAAAACATTATTTAATCAACTTAGTCAATCATGCATATTTCTTAGTTGGTATCGAAAATGAGATGAAAATTGAATTTTGCTTAGCCTAATTTGTATTACTAGTGCCACGTTGACAAATGTTATACAAAAAAATAAATCAGTAACTTCGGTATTGTTCCCTCGTGCATTTTAAAAAAACAATTCGATGAAGAAAATTCGTAATAATAGTTATAAGTATCTTTTGAAATTCTAATCCTTCCGCGCCTAATTATTATACAAGGCGTTAAAAAGAATGTATGTATGTCACATCTTGCTACTGTGTCCGTGTGCTATGTTTTAACCGACTTTAAATAAGAACGGAATGTAGTTTCTTTAAATATTTACCGACATTACCGATATTACCGACAAATATTACCTCATATAATCAAACGTTTCTAAGATGTTTAATATTGCATTAAAATTCGGTACGTGATTATTTTGACTAAAAGTCTATGTCACATTCAATTATTATTTGTAAACATTATTCTTTGGATTCTTTAGCTAAAGTTTTTTTTTTGTCGGGGCTGTGGTTTATTAGTAGTCATGGTTTTTAAATTGAATGTCAATAGTAGTAATATTACGATGTTTTGACTTATTTAAAATAAGTATGTTCTTTTTTTGTTTTTAATTTTATAATTTTTTGTAGAAATGTAACTATAGCATTTTCACGTATTTTGGTTTTCTAAGAGAAATCTTAAAACCTATAGTTTAATTTCTAATAGTAGGTACTACCAAGAAATGAAACGCGCGTAATACATTCGGAATCTTTGGGCACCGCGTTGTAAACGCCACCGCTCTTCAAACATGATTTAGAAGTCCCAAATGCGTCTTTCAATACGAAATATATGTTTTATAAGTAGCAGAAATATATAATTGTACCCATAATAGGACCCACACACGGTCAAAATGCCTTACAAGAAGTTCTAAAAATTAATCAGAAAGTGGTAGTAGCAGGGAATGACCATAAATTCTGACTATGTTTTGGTTTAACTAGTAGGTATCATCGTAGTTCCTTTATTTGCTCCCCATTCAAATTAGGCAGGACTCGCAATACTAATCGCGATACGCTTTCCATTCTCCGGTAAGTCCCTTAGTCGCTTTTTACGAGACTGGTGGTAAGGCATGTTGTGGTGATATCCTAAGCTAGCAACACACAGACGAAATGTTCGTATTTTAAGTTTTGTTTCCTCTGAAGGAAGAACAGCGTATACGACAACTACATTGCTCAGTTCCAAAACACTTATGTTTCAGGCATTAGCGGCGAAAACACTTCTCTGGCCAATAGCCGGTATTGCCCTACTGGGAGCAGCGGCTGCACTTGTTACCAATCCTGTTCTATTGCAACTAGGCGTTGTCTCCGGCAGGAAACGGCGTGACATTGACGACATACATGGCCCGGATTACAATAAAAAACTACGGGACATCCCAACGAAACTTGACAAGGCGTTTGAACCTAATATAGCAGTTCAACATGTAGCAGACTTCCATCACAGAATGACTAATTGGAAGGAATTTAAGGCAGTGAAACACGCCGACAGAACCGTTAAGAAAAATAACGATTTCATAAAACTAAACATTGACAAAAGCGATGAAGATCAAAACTTTGTTCCGATACCTTTAATCAGAAAGCAGTAAAGACATGTACTTTCATAGATTCAGATTGGAGAGACGTACACTATTTTTTTTGTGAAGAATAAGTTATAATAATAATAAAATTGTGTACCATTATTAGTACGCGCGTTAATGATGTACCTAATTTTAAATTATTCTTATAATTTTCGACATCAATCGTGATCGACATATTCAGGGGGTCAACAAAGCTTTTTCGTGGCGCTAAAGATTATTTTCTAGCTTCGATTAAAGAAAAACATGCCATGAGGCTGGAGACACCATGGAGGAAATATAATTTCAGGCTGTTGGCACGAAACAGATATTTTTATGTCAAAATTATGACATAAATTGATTAAAACAATGATTTTAGCTGATTATTCATAATAAAGTATTATGTTTTACTGAGAAACATTCGCGACTATTTTTAGGATAAGATTTCAATAACAGATATAAAAAATATCTACATTAAAAAAAACCGTAGTTTTTTATTATAATAAACCTTTTTGTACAAAGTAGACACGACTTTATCTATCTGGTGTCGAGAAATAAAACACAATTATGTGTGGATTCAAGATAAAGGGGATGAACTTGGTTGCGACGGGTGGTGATAGTTCCTAGCTGTGAATATCATTAAAGATCCCTAACATGCCCTTTTAAAATTTGTATTAAATTGACAAATGATTTAAGGTTTCTAAACTCACCAAATAAATTACTGTGTTATCAATAAACTGTCCAAATATTAAGTTCACGATTCACATTCAAACCACTAAAACAACACAGATCGGGAACAGAATTATCATTTAATCATTTAAAAATGAATAACAAGAAATAACTGGCACGACACTCCTCTAGAACACATTCACAATAAAACAGAGCAGAATTATTGACAAAACAAACTATAAAATCGTATTGTAAACCGTCGTTTGTATAGCTAAACGTCATCAGAGACCGATCATACGGTTACATTACGAACGAAGTGAAGTTCGAACTACCTACGCTTCGTCAAGCAAAGCCATTTGAATGAAGTTGCTTATGTTGGTTACACGTTTGAATGTGTGGGTGCGGCAACTCCAGCGCACGACATATGAGTGATTTTACTATAGAGCCCGAAAGAAGTAATTATTGCTAACTGCAGCATTTAATGCTTTTTATTATTTAATAATGCTTAAATATACTAAATGTTAGTAGTTTTAATCTACTTGGGGAAAGTCCAATTTGCTGTTATATTTAAACACGTTTCTAATTTTCTGTAATAGACATAGTCTTAGAAAATCGTCAGTCATGAGCTAGGTTAAAGTCTCAATTGCATTAAACAACAACTGTTCCACTCTTCAAATCTGAACACCCAATTCGAGCCAGAAATAGTGGTACATGCCCGTACGGAATTATAATAACCTTACCACCAGTTTCCTTCTCGTTAAACTACGGGCTCAGAAGGTGTGAACATACTAAACATATACTTCATTAACGTTCTACAGTATTACTTACAACGTCCTTAGTAAGATATTACAGAGTTAAAAGTATTACAAAACCAATCTCGCTCTTATTCTGATCAGCTCTACTCTTTTAAAATATTTACTCATGTGTAANCGGAATTATAATAACCTTACCACCAGTTTCCTTCTCGTTAAACTACGGGCTCAGAAGGTGTGAACATACTAAACATATACTTCATTAACGTTCTACAGTATTACTTACAACGTCCTTAGTAAGATATTACAGAGTTAAAAGTATTACAAAACCAATCTCGCTCTTATTCTGATCAGCTCTACTCTTTTAAAATATTTACTCATGTGTAAAAGTTCGAAAAACTTGCTCCGTGACAAACATGCGTGTGTGTACTTGTAACACGTGAGAAGAAAGTATACGATATGTATTACGTGTATTAATTATTACAATTTCGGTAAAGGGCCCTGGTTCTGTAGTTATCTTTTCTTTCAATTATACATGTAATAAATATTGAAATATAATCCTATGTGTCTGAACATTGAAAAAAAAACAATTAAAATATAAAGAATAATGAAAAAAAAACATTCAAAATAAAAAAAGCGTAATAGAATAAAAATATGAATTTTATATTTTTCATCTCTGTCTCTGTTTGATTGTTTGTTTGTTGCAAAAAAGTTATCGTCGTCCAAAAATTTTTGGAATCTACTTTTAGACTCTTAGATGTTAGACTAGTTAGACTTAGTCAACGCGGTCGGCGGTGTATCGCGTTCCAACCCGGCAGGCTGGTTCTGGCCCAGCGGGGTATCCCGGAACACCAGCGGCACCGCCCGGGCAGCCTGGTAGGGCCGCCGTACCGCGGAGACTGACGTCGTTGGTCGTCGACTATCGCCTCGACGACCCGTCGGTCGGGCGTCCTCGGGGTGGCACCGCGTGTCTGGTTGTAGTGTTGACCGCGGGAACCCCCCTACTCTGAACGGGTTCTGACCCCGGACGGAGATCGGACGTCGGGTGTAAGAGTGCAGGGGAGTCGTTTAGTGGGTGGGCCCTAAAATCCTTGGGCCCGCGATCTGCTCTCAACACCTGCAGATCGTTGAGTCTCACATACCCCGCGCGCCCCCTAGACGCGGGGACCTCGCAGGAGGTTCGGCACCCGGCCCGAGAAAAAAAAAAAAAGAAAAGTTAGACTTATTTAACTAAGATTGGTTAAAGTTGTCGGGAGCCCGACATGCTTGTGCGCCGCCTCTACACAGGGGGGGTGCGGTCGATAGCACTATACGGGGCTCCCGTGTGGTGCCACGCCCTGACCCGCGACAACGTCGCGGCGTTACGATTTCCGCAGTTTGCGATTGCGGTCAGGGCGGTTCGCGGGTACCGCACCGTCTCGTTCAAGGCAGCGTGGGTGCTCGCCGGGACGTCTCCCTGGGACCTGTAAGCAGAGACACTCGCTGCGGATTGCGTAGACCGACGTCGTTGGTCGTCGGCTATCGCCTGGACGACCCGTCGGTCGCTGGGAATATCATAATCCTGTCTTTAATTATCTCTGTATCTAATGTCGTACGCTCAATGAGAGAAATGTCGGAAATAATGCTGACCATCTTCTATTACCATCGCATCACCATCACTGCACTCCGAGGGAGTCGTATGGGATCCTCCACTAGAATTAAATCTCCTCCATAATGTTAGCGCTTCCCATAAATTGTCACCTTACTATGAAAACATAAAATAAATTCAAGGATATCCGACAATGTTCACCTTTTACACAAGATAAATTATAAGACCAAGTGTCTAACAGTATGTGGGAGTACTAATTAACATATCTTATAACCCAGCCCGCGTTAGCATAAATCTGAACGATGTAAAAGTGCAGTAAAATTACCCTTAAAGCTTTGTTCGGACTAGGCGAGTATTTTAGTCGAGTACCGAGTAATTTAGTGGCTAAACTACTCGCTACTCGCCCGAAAAAATAGAACAAAATGGATTGACTTGACTAAATTCTTTAGTAACCTACTCGACTAAATTTTTGGTGCTCAAACACATTTAGCTACTAAATTACTCGGTACTCGACTAAAATACTCGCCTAGTCCGAACAAGGCTTTAGCCCCACTGGAAACAAACAGTATTACGTAAAAGTGTGTAGCAATCTTATTCACTGTAAACAACGAAAATCTTTTATATTTTTAATACTCTCAGCGAAATGCATTCGAGCTCATAGCGCCATCTATGAAATGACTAATGAACCAATAGAAGATTTCAGTGAAAATGCGGTCATTTTTTCTCAATTGATATGATCGTGATTAAAAAGTTTTGTTTTCGTTATGTTGTATTTCGAGAGATGGCACTAAGTTATAAATTCAAAAAAATAATAACCAAGATATGTTATATGATGTTTATAATAGTACTAGTGCGTGTCCCTGTAGTCGAAATTCGATTATAAATAATTGAAATTATAAGTTTGAACATTATTATTATTCGGCTAAACTTTTCTTTATTGTCCGTCGATTTGGAAGTTCAAATTTTTTTTGTAGATAGTACTCATAAATAGAAAGCTTTTTGCAAAATTTCAAGTTGTGGAAACTCACGGTTTACGAGTTATAATTTTTTAAATTTTCCATACATACAAATTGGAAAAATCATCAAGGTAGACGTCAAAGTTGACGTTTCACGTTCCATTCACGGTAAACGTGTATTTTATTAAATTTTATGTCGTGTTTTTACAGAAATATATTTTATTATTTTAATAAATTCACATACCTAGTAAGTTTGTTGTAATTAAGGTGCACAGTAATTGTTGCTGCATTAAGTAATTCAATTGACTTTTTTACACAAAAATTAACTAAGTTTTGTTTACACTGTGGAACGGAACGTGAAATGACGCATTTTTATAGCGTCTTTTTATCTGTCTGTAATAAAATATTTTTTTAAATAGGATTAATTAAAAGAATAGTAAAATTGCTCGTGTTTCAGTAATAAAATTGCATAAATATCCGAAAAATATCGAAAACCGAATCAGAGCACCCCACTTTCCACATGGTCTGATGATGGTTTTGTCTGCCCTACCCCTAGAGTGTATATAAAAAACCGGAGGCGCGGAGGGAGAGCAGTCCTCGCCCGTGGAGCCGAGCATGAGTGACCGTGTTTCGGCACGCAAGTGTGGAAGGGCTGCTCTTGCCGCAGCGTCGGAGATAATGCGGATTCAAATTTAAGCTCCCTTTGAGTTGGACTTTTTTTTACTACCTAAGCTGATGGTCTAAAGATACCATATCAGCGTAACCATAACTAGTAAGTGAGCTCACGGGACTCAAACCTGACGACGTTGCTAACCCGAACCCTAGCAAGAGCCGTGCTTCGCAGAATCTATCACTGGATCNGCTGCTCTTGCCGCAGCGTCGGAGATAATGCGGATTCAAATTTAAGCTCCCTTTGAGTTGGACTTTTTTTTACTACCTAAGCTGATGGTCTAAAGATACCATATCAGCGTAACCATAACTAGTAAGTGAGCTCACGGGACTCAAACCTGACGACGTTGCTAACCCGAACCCTAGCAAGAGCCGTGCTTCGCAGAATCTACCACTGGATCGGAAACACGATACACTGAGAAGATCCGGCAAGAATCTCAGTGGGCTGTGTCTGTGGGTTAATTCACCCGTCGCTTGCGACAAAGGGCTCGACGAGGACGGTGACCGGTGCATGTGGTACCTAAAAGCACCGTTAATGGATCGGGAGGATTCGTAATGGTAATACATCGGTTTCTATCTTAGGTACTGGGGAATGAGTAACAGGCACAGAAGAGATCGGGAAAGATTTCTGCTTGCTGGACGTTAGTCACTAATCTGAGATAAGCCGTGTTATTTTTTACTGTATGAAGAGATCGACTTCGGAGGAATCGATCGAAAGGACTACCTCTTGCTAGATACATACATATTTTGATAAGCCAAATATCTTAACTTTAAGATCAGGTTAATCTGTCTTCTTTATTCCTAAAGCAAGCTTGTAAGCATTACAATTTACTTATTTATTTCAAGGTTTCAACGACAACAAGAAAAAATTGTGAATTCGTGGCAAGTTTTATTTATAATTCATATTATACAAAATCGAATTAAAAGGAATGAATGTTGCACATGTGGAGCCCTTGAATTTTTCTTATAATTTTCAAATGGAATCAAACTTTGAAGCCAAACTGAAAAAAGTAAACACATTAAAACGCACAGCTATTGACGAAAAAACATAAAAGTATTTTTAAAGAAATCCTGACTTTGGCATTAAAGAAAAATATTAATTTATCTAACGTGTGAATAAATAAAATGATCTTTGCGTATACCTGACATTGAACCAAAATTAAAGATTACTTATCTAGATTTTAATTTGGTTTCTTGGTCATTTCACTTGAATACCACGAAAAACTGGTCTCAAGAGTTGTTTTCCTTGAAAATTAAGATCACGAATTTTTTATCTCTCTAACATTTTCGAATACATTTCGAATAAATGATCAAATATAATATGTTGGAACTTCATATATTCTTTTATTTTTATTTTTATTGCTTAAATGGATGTAAAAGCTCACAGCCCACCTGGTGTTAAGTGGTTACTGGAACCCATAGACATCTACGACGTAAATGCGCCGCCTACCTTGAGATATAAGTTCTAAGGTCTCAAGTATAGTTACAGCGGCTGCCACACCCTTCAGACCGAAACGCATTACTGCTTCACAGCAGAAATAGGCAGGGTGGTGGTTCTTACCCGTGGGGACTCACAAGAGGTTCTACCACCAGTAATTATGCAAGTTATAATTTTGCGGGTTTGATCTTTATTACACGATGTTATTCCTTCACCGTGGAAGTCAATCGTGAATATTTATTAAGTACGTATTTCATTAGAAAAATTAGTGCCCGCCTGCGGGATTCGAAGACCGTTGCATCGCTCGACACAAATGCACCGGACATTTTATCTTTTAGGCCACGACGACTTCAAAATCGCTTAAAATAGACGATAGCCTTTCACCTCTCGATATGTTATTGACAATTATATTCAGAAGATACAAATTTGAATACCTTAGGTGCATTTTCGAGTGTGCATTTGAAGATCAATGCAGCTCTCTCACAACCTTTCTCGCCATCGCTAACTTCCACATCATTAACTGGAAATAGTAAAACACTCATAATGTTATGTTCCATACAATATACAGATATGGTTGATCTGAATTTCACAGTCTTTAGTCTGTAGTTGACTGAATTTTATTATCACAATTACAATTTCCATTTTACTTCGGTATAGTTTTAAATAATTATATAAGACTCACAAAAGATAAGTGATTTTGGAATATAAAAATGTGTGCCATACGTTTTAATTATTTTGTAAATATCTGCTGTCCCACTCTTTAAGCGAGAATCGAAGACTTCATAGCAACCTAATTAGGCGGCATGACAAGGCCTGATTATTTAATAACATTCTTTACCTTTTACGCAAATATCTGCGACTTTTTTCCCGTTTTCAAGACGTTTCTCGTCTCCGTTCTTGGACATTTCCGCAATTTTATACGCGTGTTCCAAATTGTATAAGCCTTGACTGGTCATCTGTAATTTAGAAATGATTAAAAACACATTTGTTTCCCCATGTCGTATGATTTTTGAGGATCGATTGTTCAAAACTGGTTGTTTTGTTTTTATGTTTTGTTTCTAAAAAATATGTATGTACAATATGGCTATAAGTTAAGTATCTACTTTTACGAGAAAATCAATAGATAAAATAATAAGGAAATTTAGAACCAAATTAAATAAGTGCGTGTTTTGTAATATTTTCTCAACTTAGAAAGAACTTACCATAAGTCCATGAGCACTATGACCAAAAGCTACTCTGTCAGTCTTTCTTTACAAAACGTTGGACGGATAAATAAATTCTATTACCGTTAACATGAGTTAGTAGTAAAATATTTTCAACTAATAGAATATTGTATATTTGAATAGCTCTCCCGAAAGCATTAAGAGCAATACCGAGGATATTTATCTTTTTATTTTAATAAGGTCAATATTGTGGGTAACACACGATTAATTATTTTTATGGTTTTTCTTTTATTTCCATTGTTGGCAAACGAGTATACGACCTGATGATAAGAGGTCGCTTATGAGTATCAGCAACGCCAGGGCATATGTAAGCCGTTTTGATACGAAAATACTTTGACAAACCTTCAATATTCAAATTTGCATTTTGGAACCACTTTTTTTTCTCAGAATATCGTTACGCCATAAACATACAATTACATAAAATGATTACCAATCGTTTTAAACATTACATACGTGATTATTAAATGGTTTCTTACCACGATCCTCACATTTCACGAGCTCCCGATATATCGGTGCTGCTCCAAACGCCATGATCATAAAGTTATCGATAAATAGAAAGAACACTTACGACTCCGTTTAGTTTATAAGCACAAGCCAGAAGGCATTTAGATTCGGTCTTCTTCGGTGCGATCAACTGTTGCAGTTGCATTAACTCCGACATATCAACGGGATGGTCTTTTGTACATTTCATAACTAGTTTCGTGAATTCAATTTTAAGCTCTTCCTCTGTTACGGCCTGTGGTTTAAAAACAGTAACGAAAAATTGAAGATCTGTATTCTTGGATTTTAACAGCTGTAGATGGGTAATCAGTATCCACCAGTATTAAGTGGAGCCCGTATACACCAAAAATCAAAATAAAACCAATCTTAGAAGTAAGTTTTTTTAACGCTTTTTTTTTTCAATGCATGCAGTCGGTACCTGTAATTGTGTTAGCATATAGTGTGAAATCAATGTATATGATACCTGTAATGTTCTGTGCTGATGTATAGCATGTTGGTACCCAATAAATAAAATAAAATAAAAATAAATAAGAATTTAGTATCAATATTATTGGGTATTCTATACTTTACACTGATACACATTATTTTGATTATTATGATCGGGAAATTAATATCAAAATACACAACTTGTTAATCTCATATCCCATTCTCCTGCGAGTCTTTTGGAAGAAATATCTTCCTCAATAAGTGGCGCCTGTGTATTCAAAGTTCCATTGTAGGCAGCGGCTTGGCTCTGCCCCTGGCATTGCTGAAGTCCATGGGCGACGGTAACCACTCACCATCAGGTGGGCCGTGTGCCCGTCTGCCTACAAAGGCAATAAAAAAAATAATATTATTAACTATTTCAATTTCATGTTTTTCTTTTTGAATAAAAAAAAAATTTTCACATCGGATACAGTCAGGAATACAAAAGCCACTCATATGTGCTTCCATGCTAGCTTCATGGGTGGCAATGGGGAAATTAGAAGTTTGTAGAAGTAGAAAAATGGGTACTACTTGGCATCGATGCTTGATGAGTAACATAAGCAACAAAAGTTTTTTTTTTGCCATATAGGCAGACGAGCCTACGGCCTACCTGATGGTGAATGGTTACCATTGTTCATGGACATCAGCAATGTCAGAGGCAGACCTAAGCCGCAGTCTACCGTTTAGTACTCTCCACATGCCTCGTTTGAAGAAAGACGTGTCATAGCGCTCGAGAAACACCGTGGAGGGGAGCTCATTCCAAATTCGGATGGTACGTGGCAAAAAAGATCTCTGGAAACGCACTGTGGATGAACGCAGTGGCTCCAGGTAACATGGATGAATTCTACTCTGGTGGCGGGCGGTGCGATGCCAAAAACGAGATTATGGTATCGTTTCAAACAATTCCTCAAGTAGGTAAGTCCGTGCAGGTCACATTTTTAGCAATGGTCTTCTTCTACATGTTGCGCTTATCCCCCATTATGTGGGGGGTCGGCGCAGCATGTTTTTATTATCATTGTTTTATTGCTTAGATGGGTGGACGAGCTCACAGTCCACCTGGTGTTAAATTGTTACTAGAGCCCATAGACATCTACAACGGCTGCCCTACCCTTCAAACCGAAACGCATTACTGCTTCATGGCAGAAATAGGCAGGGCGGTGGTACCTACCTGTGCAGACTCAAGAGGTCCTACCACCAGTAATTACGCAAATTTTAATTTTGTGGGTTTGATGTTTATTACACGATGTTATTCGGTCAGCGTGGAAGTCAATCGTGAACATTTATCAAGTACTTATTTCATTAGAAAAATTGGTACTCGCCTGCGGGATTCGAAAACCGGTGCATCGCTAGGTACGAATGCACCGGACGTCTTATCCTTTAGGCCACGACGACTTCATTTCCATGTCATGCTGCATAGAGATTAAGCATGAATTTTGCTACCGGCCACCTGTCTGAAGTCAACCCTCTTTAAGTTTTGTCTCCGTATATAAATTGCAACGTACTATAAGAACTTTTCTGTTTCTTCTTTTAGTGTTTCATTTAACTCAACCTCTTTTGGTTCTATGATTAGCATTTTACTATTATTAACACTAAAATTTACATTTTCAATTACCATAACAAGAAAATGTCGTTTATAAAACTATTTAAATTGTTATAAAACTTACATAAGAACCACCGCATATTGCCAGCAAAAAAATCAGACACCGCATAATTTAGAAACGCTCGTACAACCACTGCTTGCAAATATTAAAATAATGCTACTATTTATACAAATTTTACTTTGTTCAGATAACATCGAAAACAGTAATTTCCTACATTAAAACTGATAAAATTGGTTATTTCAATGCCTAAATATGAAAAGTAAATGTATTTGATTTAACTGACCCGATACCATTCATGATTTAATGGAAACAATAATGCAGGGTGTCGTGTGGTGGATTCTCGAAAACAAAACATTAAAAAAAAAAACTATTCAAATTTTTATTTTACTAATGCTTATGCTCTACGTACAGAGATTATTATTAACTGACCGTGAATGCGGTGGATAATTGCTTCTAGATTCTATAATAATTATCAATAAAAAAACTAATGGCACTCGGGGACTACCTCGGTAAAACTATTGCATAGCATTTTTTATCAACTTATGCAATTATAATCAGACAATAATAATTTAATATTAAAACAATAATAAAATGAGACCATGCTATATTGACAACATAGTCTAACATATTGCGGGATGCGAGGTAGTTAATAGCTATGTATATCTAGGCTCCACTATCACCAACGCTGGAGGCTGCGAAGATGAGATCTGAAGACGCTGCGCCGTGACAAGATTCTCAGTTGAGAGACTAACAAAGATTTGGCGAGACCGCAGAATAACCAAAAACACAAAAGTTCAGTTAATGAGATGCCTGGTCTTTCCAATCTTTCTGTATGGGGCTGAGACGTGGACGCTGAGGATGCAAGACCGTCGTAAGAGTGACGCACTGGAAATGTGGTGTTGGTGACGTCTCCTCAGAACTCCGTGGACCGCGCACCGTACCAACATATCGATCCTGAAAGAGCTCAACATCAAGGAGAGACTATCGTCAACAGTCCAAATACAAATCCTCAAGTTCTTCGGGCACATCACTCGTAATGAGGACTCCATTGAGCGGTTGGTGGTGCAAGGGAAACACGAAGGTAAAAGATCTCGCGGACGATCTCCAACACGATGGACCGACCTCATAAAATCTGTGACTCACTCCAACATAAATGATTGCTCTCACTCTGTGAAACATCGTGCCACACGGCGTCGCATCGCGATAGCATCGGTATCGCAGGATCCGACTGATGCATGACCATGACCACTCTGTCAAGAGTGTACGAATAGGAAGAACATTGATCAAGATTAACAAAAGCAAAACATTAACTATCCCGTTCACACTCATAAGCTAGACCGTGCGAGAGAGAGATAGGCAGACTTTTCATGATGCGCATGCAGTGCGACGTCACGCCGCGCGCTTATTCACAAACACTACACAAGCGCAACGTGTGAATGTGTTGAGCGCGAGCTACATGGTAGGCGGAGTGGGGGCGTTAGGTTTTATTTTCGTTACGGAATTTCTTGATTCGGTCGCCGTGCTCAAAGCCCGCGATAAAAGCTATGCAATAGCTTTAAAACATTATTGTGTACGTTCGTAAATATTACGAAGTCGTTGGTTTATATCTTACTAACTGTTACTTATGGCTACGCCCGCGTTATCAATGAAAAGTGTGACAGTTCATTCCTGTGGGAATAAGATGTTTTTTCAGCATAAAAAGTAATCTACGTCACCATACTTACACTTACACCAATATTACCACTCTCCTCACCTAATAAGCGTGAGAGTGGTAATATTTTAAGTTTTAATACTTTAATTAAAGTGGTAACATTTTACCACTAAATTATTACAACTTTACACTTACAAAACATTATTACAATTTTTAAAGTGGTAATATTTTACCACTTTAAAAACATCATGTCCATCCGTTGCTTCATTTCAGCCTGAAAAAAGGACAAACAAACAAACAAGCACACTTTCAGATTTATAATAATAGGTCAACACTTTGAAGTAGAGCCACTAGGTAGTAACGTAATTTATGAATGGCTGACGATTCTAAATTCAAATTAATTTTATTTTAAAAATATGGAGTTCTAGTTTCAAATTTAAGTCATTTGTTTGTTGATTAGTGTTTTTTATTATTTTGAAAACATTTGTATCTTTTTTATCAATATGGATACAATAAAAATACGACTTTTATGGAAGACGAGTTCCGTCGCGGTACCAATGCCGCACAACGTTAATGGTATAAATGCTTCCGGAAAATTTAATCTAAAAAATGAACTCCATGCTCGCCTGAAAACTAAAGTCAATAACGATAAATTAAAGGTGATAGTGGAGGCTGACGATACTCAATCTGCAGCTAAGTTCGCAGTCATATCGGCGGCTGCAGTGCGTAGTGCGAACCGCATTACAGTGACCGCTGTCATTGCCAGACGTTCTGTGGAAGAATAGCCCGATTGGTGGTGTATCGCGTTCCGATTCGGCAGGGTGGTTCTGACCTAGCAGGGTATCCCATAACACCAGCGGCATCGCACGGTCAGCCTGACGGGTCGTAGTACCCCGAAGACTCTTCGGTTGGGGTTCCAAAATTGTGGCTCCGTGAGTCTGATTTTAGAGTTGACAACGAGAACCCCTTACTCTGCCCAGGTTCTGACTTCAGGCGAAGATCGGAAGTCGGGTCAGAGAGTGCAAGGGAAGTCGTATCGTGGGTAGAGCCCTAAAACATTATTGGGCTTGCAGTATGCTCCCAACATCTGCAGACCCTCAAGTCCCACAAATCCCGCGTGCACCCTAGACGCGGACACCTCCTATGAGGTTTAGCCACCTGCACGGAAAAAAGAGCCTTGCATTGATTACTTAACGGACAAAGCAACGCAGGGAATTTGAACCACATTGTCATTTGTAATGAAGAATGGATTATTTTTCATAATTGTAAGCGGTCATCATGCTAGTTAGACCCTGGTCCAGCCCTATAAATGCCCCAAATGTAAGCATACCTTTAAAAGTGTCATAGTCAGTCTTTGGTGGTGCCGGTATAATGCATCACAGCTTCTTACCAAACGGCAGAAACAATACTACGGATGTACCCATCTAAGCAAAAAAAAAAAACGAATCTCCGGTCAGCCTTTGGCCAGTCACTCGTCCTCGCTGCTCTTACACGACAACGCTCGACTTCATACGGCACAACAGACGATATATAAGTTACAAGAGCTAGGTTGGAAGTTTTGCGGCATCCATCGTACTCACCAGACGTTGCGCTGACAAACTTCTACTTTTTCTAAAGTTTGGACAACTTTTTGGCAGGCAAAAAATTAAATACCCAGGAGACAATACAAAATTCCTTTGAGGCTTCTATACATCTAGATTCTAGACCAAGGCCGTGACACAGTTGACTGACGGTCCGGCGTCACGTCCGTGTTAACGCGACCAGGAGAAACGCGGTCCCCTTTAATGCGACGGGACCTGTGTCTCAGTTGAATATCGCATCCGAAATCCGGTCGTTGCTAAGCAACAAGGTTTTTAGTCGGTGCGATCCTAACAACTAACCCTAACTAACCCTAACTAACCCCGCCCACTACACATAACGCCTAGACGGAAGTCATGCACTGACCCTAAAACAAGAAGGGTTTTTGTTTTCTGGATTCATAATAATTTTTATTTTCGTCATCATTGCATGAAAGTTTAACTCCAAAATAATTCGTTGGCTTAAAATACTATTTCATTATAAATTAATTAATACTGGAATATTTTTTAGATGTCTTATAACAGCCAATTAACAAATAAAAAACAAACAAAATAATTTTATTTATCTCTTTATTAACTTTTAATGACAAATGTATAAGTTTTACAACTGTGGATTTTGTTAACACAATCTTAATTTATGGAAATTATATACATAATAATATATTTAATTTTAATGTGCTTCATAAATATTTCATATATTCAACGTTTACGGATGACAAATTGTCTAAAATTGCTTCACTCGATTTGCTTAAAGTTCAAAGCCAAACTGTAAAAAAAAAAAAGATTTGTATATTTCTCTTAATTCTATTTATTTTTGGAATGATTTTGCTTAAGGAAAAAAAAAATCTTGATGAGTAAGCGCCGCACGAACTAAACGGATAACCAGCGCGACGAATGCGTTGGTGTGTCTTACGCCGGGGGTCTCCTCCCGGTGATGGGGGCGACCTGAGGGAGTCGACACTACACCGACACCAGGAGGATGGGACGACGCATCGGCGGCTACGGTGCGCCGTGGGGTCCGCATTGCCGTCATTACCTAATCATTGTCAAATCTCCTAATCACTAACAATCTTATATTGATTAAGCCTTTTGCCTCGTTGTAAAGTATGCCCTCTGCCCATTGCCATTTTAACGTCGAAATCCTTTGGGCTATGTTGGTTAGCATGGTTTTACTGCGAATCTCCTCTATCCTGATCAGATCTCGCAGGGAAACTCCAAGCATAGCCCTCTCACAAAATCAAACCAAAAATTGAACCCAGATAGCATTATAGAATAGTGAAAATAACTCCACCAACAAGACGGTCAATAATAAAGATGGATCTGATAATAGTGTAATCTTGTTTCCTTGATCTTAACTACGTCGAGTCGATATAACTTTTTATATCAATAGGTAAGTAGGTAAAAAGTCTTTCAAAAAACTTTACATTTGTAATCTTCTCCGTGCTACATTTGAAAATCAACGCCGCCCTCTCACATCCTTTAGTTCCGTCTGAAACTTGTTGATCGTTAACTGTAAAAATAAATAAATTTATTTATTGCTTAGATTTGAGGACGAGCTCACAGCCCACCTGATGTTAAGTGGTTACTGGAGCCCATGGACACTTACAACGTAAATGCGCCACCCACCTTGAGATATAAGTTCTATGGTCTCAGTATAGTTACAACGGCTACCCCACCCTTCACGCCGAAATGCATTACTGCTTCACGGCAGAAATAGGCGGGGTGGTGGTACCTACTCGTGCGGACTCACATGAGGTCCTACCACCAGTAAAAATGTTAAAAATAAGTCCGTATTTTTCTTAGTTCGCTCTCTTTGTTGCATATAACGTTTAACGATCACATAGCATTTCTGGTGTTAGGTGATAAATCGATTGCCACCATCCTGCGACATGAGGCTGAAGTTTTAATGAAATAATGCTTCCCCATCGAACAGTGAAATCATTGAATTCATAACTTAAATTCAAGTTGAAAGTCAGGAATCGATATATAGGTATAAAAAACAGCTTACAATCTCAATGTGACTTTCTGTAAGGAACCTTGTTATATTAAAATTGATTAACTTGATTAAAACTTAAATTTCTACGCACCACTGCTGCATGCTTCCGCAAATTCTTTGCTTTTCCTCAATTGCTCTGGATTATCGGATAAATATTTTTGGCTCATATCTTTTATACCTTCCACTGATAACATTCCTTCCTCGGTCATCTTTATAACGTACATACTTCGTTAATTTCAATCACAGTTGCAATACAATTATTCAAATTAACAAACTTAACATTAACAGTCTTCAAAACTTATAGATCTATTTATCCCATTAATATGTGTTACGAATTTAGTTGTTGCTTAGTTGACTAGCTTTTTTCCGGTCACCGTCCTCGCCGAACCCATTGCTTGCGAAGAAGAGCTCGACGAGTAAATGAACCCATAGATACAGCCCACTGAGTTTCTCACCGATTCTTCTCAATGGGTCGCGTTCCCAATCCGGTGATAGATAATGCGAAACACTGCCCTTGCTAGGGCCAGTATTAGCAACACACACGATTTGAGCTCCGAGAGCTCACCTACACGCTAGGGTAATGCTGAAATAGCCTCTCAATAGCATAGGTAAAAATAGTTTTCTTTCCTTAAAAAGAACTGTTTGACTCATACCGGTTATCACGTTGCGATATTTGACCTACAGTAACCTCAAATTTATCTCGTCCACCAATCTAAGCAATAAAAAACAATAAAAAATAAAACTGTAAGCTATTCTACCTAACTGAGGTACCAAAACAAGGAAATAAACTATATGGATGTCATTTTGTCTCCGTAATATTATTGTATCGAGCACTGCATACAAACCTGGTTTCACCATATCATGTAATCGCCAAAAAAACTTCATTTCCGGTAAACAAATGTTATTACGGAGGTAACATTGTACGAACGGAAACCGTGTAATTGGGATGCTCATTAGAAATGACCTTGTGAATTTTCATAACAGCTCGTCTTTAAATCATGTTTAGATAATGTCAATGAACAATTCGTCATGCTCTGCTCCGAAACCATCGTATTTCGCTTTGGATCAAATGGCCGTATTCTAATACAACTTCAAAAGTCTAGGTATTTTTATCATAAATCTAAATTACTCATCAGGGATTCAGGGGTAAGATCAAAGAAAAGCTAGGTATTCAAAATCAGTTCAGACCCTTACATCAATAATGAAACCATATAATAATAATTAGGTTAAAAGTATTGGTGATCGTGATCTCACTTTAGTTAAATTTACAGATTTTCAACCATTGAAACTGAACGCTTCTTAGTTAAAATATGAACTGAGAATCATAGGGTTACGGCTACACAAACAATTAAGGGACTTTATCACTCAAAACCTCTTTAAGTAAAGTTAAATAATTACATTACCATCCCTGTTTTCTTGTATGCGCATGCGAACACGCACTTTATGTCATCATTTGGAATTTGACGAGCCTTGATCAATTCTAAATCAGCAGCAGTTATAGGGTAGTCACCTACACATTCTTTGATTACATTTTCGTAGACCATTTTCAGATCATCGAGGGAAGAAGCCTTGAAAAAAAAAACGTGTTTTATCTAATTACTGTATAATTGTCTAATGCATCTAAATAATAGTTTTTAAAGAAGTAATCGATTAGTAATGATTAACCGTTAGATAATTCAATCTGATCAATACTGATCATGGACGGTCTCACAAATCGAACCAGATCTGGAACCTACGTTTAAGTAATAGAATAAACCAAAGTAAACACTTCTTTCGCTTACCCGAACATCATAAATTGAAATTCCAAAGTAAAAAATCAGAATAAAGTTCGTGTACATTTTCAACCAAGAATGACCAAATCCGGAATGAAAATGTGCGAAACTGTGTCATTTATTATTTATATAGTACCTACTTTATTTTGAATACAATGTGTTATAATGAATGTTTCACAAAAGAATCAATTGCTGTTCTGGCCTGTGTACTATTGCGTTATATTTATTTTGAACTAGACAACGAGGTTAATCCGGTTGTTATCTTCATTTTTTATAATAATTTAGCCACAGGAGAATAAATGAAATCTAACTGAAATGTTCAGAACGTTCAAAATAAAAATGGCTGTTTTATCAAATATAAGAATCTATTTATTTTTAGCTTAGCTTAAGTAACAAGATATAAAAGCAAAGTTGTTATGTTAACGCCCTATTTCTATTCTACCGTGAAGCAATAATTAAATTTGGTTTGAAGGGTGGGGCATCCGTTGATGTCTATGGGCTCCGGTAACCATATATAATTAAAACCACTTAACACCAGCTGGGTCGTAAGCTCGTCCATCCATCTAAGCAATAAATAAAAAAGATATAAGCGGATTTTGCAGTCAAAACACAAAACGTCTATGCCTCTCCCGATCGTAAGACACTAACTCTCCGTGTATTAGTAGATAGTAAAGGCAGAAGAGTTTATCGGTGGTGGACGTAGCAGTAGCTTCAGAAGTCCAAAGGCCAAAAATTGATGGCTGAATTATGATGCACATAAAATTTACTGACCGTAAAACCAATAGGAATCATCTAGATAAATATATTCATCACTTAGTTATGTAATTAACGTAACCTAACTCAAGAACAATTTTAAACATATTTTTAATTACTGTTTGGAATATGTATATGTTAAACTTTAATTATAAACTAAGATGTGCATTTGATGAGGATTAATTGCAAACTTGCTAGTGTATTGGTCTCAGCGTACTTGTAGCCACTTTATCTAACAAGAATCGTAATTGTCATTACGATTCANATCACTTAGTTATGTAATTAACGTAACCTAACTCAAGAACAATTTTAAACATATTTTTAATTACTGTTTGGAATATGTATATGTTAAACTTTAATTATAAACTAAGATGTGCATTTGATGAGGATTAATTGCAAACTTGCTAGTGTATTGGTCTCAGCGTACTTGTAGCCACTTTATCTAACAAGAATCGTAATTGTCATTACGATTCACGCTTTAACACTGTTTATCAAAATTAAATTCATAAAATGTCTAGTATCTGTTCCTATAACACTTTCCTTTTTTATTTTTACACGCACTAGTGAACGAGTTCACGACTCACCTAGTGGTTATTGGAGCTCGTAAACATCACAACGCGAACGTCTTCACCCAGCTTGAGGCATGAGGTCTGAGTCTCAATTAGTATAACGGTTACCCCACACTTCGAACCGGAGCGCATGACTGGTTCCAAGTAAAAACAGACAGGGTTGTGTTGCCTCTAGTTCTGGTCCAGTGGGATATTCAGGGACACCAGCGACACTGTCCCAGGCGACCTGACTGACTGCCATACTGGGACGGCCGATGTAGATTCTTTTTTTTTATGTTTGAAGGATTACTGGTGGCCCGGGGGTCTTTCCAGTTTTACCAGGACAGGTGGGCGAGCAAGGGATCAGCCAGGAGTGGTGGGATTTGCTAACAGCTACCCGAGCGCCTCCAAAGGAGATCTAACAACTCAATAGTAACTGCTTCGCGAATGAATCTACTACCGGAACGAAATCGCGACCGATGAGAAGATCTGGCGACTATCGCCTCGACGACCCGTCGGTCAGCGTCCTAGGGGTGGCGATGAATCTGGTTGTAGTGTTGACCACCGGAACTTACTCTACAATGACCGGGTTCTGACCAAGGTCGGATATAGGACGTCGGCTGAAAGATTGCAAGGGGAGTCGTTTGGTGGATAGGACCCTAAAACAACCTTGGGGGGGCAGTCTACTCACAACATCTTCAGATCATCAAGTCCCACATACCCCGCGCGTCCACTAGACACCTCATATGAGGATCGGCTCCAGACCGAAAAAAAGGAAAAAAATTGTTGCCTACCCTCATGTATCAAGGTGGACATACATGTTATAATCCCTATTACACGGTATTTTACCTTTTTAGTGGAAGTTTATCCTGAACGTTAGAATCTCATATCTACATGTTCCACGGGGAGCGCTCTGACGAAATTAGCGAGATGATCCCTTTTTTTTTCGCCATTTCACTGCACCAGAATTCATACATATTATCTAGTAGTTCTAGTACCACTGCGTTCATTCGTTATACGTTGCGTGAGTTAACCACTCGCCATCAGGCTACCCACAATGACAATTTAAAAATATCAACAAGTAAGCAGAACATTTTATCTATTACGACAAGAACGCTTCAAATATTGAAATGCGATACCGACAAAAAATAACATTCAACTAATTACGTTATTTTCCACTTAACAAGATGCATAATGTATCACTTAATAGTGAATATTATGCATAATATAAATGCATAATATACATTTCAGCTAGCCTGTTTCCAAATTGAACGCAATAAGCTTCAATTTACGATATCATTCTCAAAGCTGTTTCCGAAAACACACACAAAAAATCTATAATGAAGCAAGCAGACGTTTATATAAATACAGATACTTTTAAAATAAGACAATTCCGTAATAGCGTCCATAGTTAACAGTTCTAAGTAGACAAATACTATAGTGCTGCTAAAATGTTGCGTGTTGTTGTGATTTGCGTGTGTTTTCTAGTTATTGCGCCTTATGGTATTAATGTAAGTTCTCTCGACTGACAATTTGCAGTCATACACTTCAAATTGGTATTTATACGTTATGTATTATTGATTTGTTATGCCGATAAAACGCCTGACGGTNGCGTCCATAGTTAACAGTTCTAAGTAGACAAATACTATAGTGCTGCTAAAATGTTGCGTGTTGTTGTGATTTGCGTGTGTTTTCTAGTTATTGCGCCTTATGGTATTAATGTAAGTTCTCTCGACTGACAATTTGCAGTCATACACTTCAAATTGGTATTTATACGTTATGTATTATTGATTTGTTATGCCGATAAAACGCCTGACGGATGATTCTTCCTCGCCGATTTTAGTTTAGGTAGATTTTAGTAAACAATAACAAAAAAATCCTGATATTGATTAACTGACGCGTATTTATAAAGCAGGGGGATAGCTACCACAATCCTGCCACAAAGCGGTCACGTGTTTCGGTTTGAAGGTAGAACAGCCGTTATGGAATATAATTGAGACAGACTTCACGTCTGTTATTGGCGTCTTTTTTTATGATTGAAGGATTACTGGTGGCCCGGGGGTCTTTCCAGTTTCACCAGGACAGGTGGGCGAGCAAAGGCTCAGCCAGGAGGGGTGGGATTTAAGCCTGCTCCTAGTGTTAGAGCTGAAGGCGTCTAATGCAAAGGTTATTGAATCTGATGGATCCATAAGGACGTGTTTAGGACGTTGACCGTGACTGGCTCCTGCATGATCAGGATTCTTGGAGTAGTCAGAGGCGGCAACGATAAGGCGATTATCATGTCGCATAGCCTTATCGAAGTACCGTTCCGACGCTGACTTCATGTATTTCCGGATTGATTCGGGCCCAGTTCGTCGTGTAGGTCAACGTTCCTCACGAACCACGGAGCTCCGATGGCTAGATTGGAGGGTGTCTATTTATGTGCGGGCCGCGTGAGCGAACACCACACTCGCGTAAGTCATGACGAGCCTTATGCAAGTTTTGTATAGTGTCACCTTGTTCCGAAGGGACATTTTACTCCGCATACAGATCATGGGGTAGAGTATGCCAAGAATAAATGCAGCACGATCACGGACTGTTTTTATATGCGGGCGGAATGTCATAGATGCATCCAGGGTGACTCCCAGGTACTTGACCTTCCTGGCCCGAGTATGGGTTAGGAGAAAAGGGTGATTGGGGGTGTTGTTGGCGTCATTCACGCTTTGATGTCTATGGGTTCCGATATGCACTTAACAAAAGCTAGACTTTCACGTGTCCACTCATCTAGTAATAGTAGTTAAAGAACCCGATTAAAACGTGTTTTCATATGAAGAAGAAGTCTCCATTTCCGGATATTTTCTTTCCTTGTGATGTATTTCTTATGTTTAAGTAAGTCATGTTTAAATGCACATATTGCCAAAAAAAAAATTTTCTCCTATAGCAGCCTAGTGAGGTTGAAACGAGATCCGGTTCAAACTGACAGGTTACAGTAGCTCATGTAAATCACATCGTGTACCTCAACCTTCGATCAATAATACTATTATTGATCGAAGATCTCAACGCTTACTTTGTATAATACTCGTAATAGCAAATGCTTTGTTTAGGCTCGAGATTCACACATTCATTCGAACAAACGGAAGATTTACTGGTGGTAGGACCTCTTGTGAGTCCACACGGGTAGGTACCACCGCCCTGCCTATTTCTGCCGTGAAGCAGTAATGCGTTTCGGTTTGAAGGGTGGGGTAGCCGTTGTAACTATACTGAGACCTTAAACTTATATTTCAAGGTGGGTGGCGCATTTACGTTGTAGATGTTTATGGGCTCTAGTAACCACTTAACACCAGGTGGGCTGTGAGCTCACCTACCCACCTAAGCATATAAAAAAAAAAAATAGTGACTTCAATTTCATACCTACAGATAGTCGGTGACGTTGTCTTGTCAATGAGCTTCTTTTCTTTTTTATGAGCTCCGGTAACCATAAAAAAATCAAGAGAGCTGTCAGATCGCCCGTCCAACATAGCTTAGACATACATTATACAGTCACGTGCCTCAATTATGCGCATCTAGATTTAAAATGTTATAAAATAAAAAATCTCAAATGCAATGAGACAGACCAAGGTCAATTATTTAGAGTGTTTATTAATAAGCGACAGTTTAAATATTCATCGATAGTTCATTGTTAAAATGCGGAGATATTGTGCGAGTATCTAGGTATGCATAATAGAAGAATAGGTACGCGTCGTCGGGTCTCGTATCCCCTTGCGGGGGCACGGGGCGGGCCTCGGGGTAATCCCCTCTGAGGGTACGCAACGTGATTTTCAGTTATACCATCACCACCATTCAGGTATACCATCAGATCTTATCTTAATATATATATAATTATTCTGTTCATGTGTGTGTCAAAAAGCTTCTTCTAAGCTGCTGGACCGATTTTGATCAAAGTTTTTGTGTTATTCCACCGAATCCGAACATGGCTTAGATTCACAATTCGGTTCACTAAAAATGCTTTAATTAATTATTATTTGGAACAGAAAAGCTTGAAATTTTAGAATTTAGGACAATGTAACGTCTCTGAGGTTCATTAGCTACTTATAATTAACGATCACGTAAAAGTTTTTTTTTTATGATTGAAAGATTACTGGTGGCCGAAGGCCTTTCCAGTTTCACCAGGACAGGTAGGCGAGCAAAGGCTCAGCCGGGAGGGGTGGGATTTGCTAACAACTGCCCGAGCGCCTCCGAAGGAGACCTAACAACTCAAGAGCAATTGCTTCGCGAATGAATCTACTACCGGATCGGAATCGCGACCCGCTGTGAAGATCCGGCGAGAAACTCAGCGGGCTGATGCGTGGGTTAGGTTGCACGTCGACCTCTTTGTCGAATTCGACGCTTACGGCTACCGGGGTCCCTAAGCCTGCTCCTATTATTAGAGCTGAAGGCGTCTAATGCAAAGGTTATTGGATCTGATGGATCCGTATGGACGTGTCTAGGGCGTCGACGGTGACTGGCTCCTGCGTGATCAGGATTCGGAGAGTAGTCAGCGACGGCAACGATAAGGCGATTATCATGACGCATAGCCTTATCGAAGTACCGTTCCGACGCTGACTTCATGTATTTCCGGATTGATTCGAGGCCCAGGTCGTCGTGTAGGTCAACGTTCATCACAAACCACGGAGCCCCGACAACTAACCTGCAAAAGCGGATTGTAGGGATTGGAGGGTGTCTATGTGTGTGCGGGCCGCGTGAGCGAACACCACACTCGCGTAAGTCATGACGAGCCTTATGCAAGTTTTGTAAAGTGTCACCTTGTTCCGAAGAGACATTTTACTCCGCTTACAGATCATGGGATAGAGTCTACCGAGAATAAACGCGGCACGGTCACGGACTGATTTTATATGCGGGCGGAATGTCATCGATGCATCCAGGGTAACGCCCAGGTACTTGACCTTCCTGCGCCAGGGTATGGGTTGTCTAAAGAGAGTAATCGGGGGTGTGAGATTCCTCCTCCTAATACGGGAGGAAATCCGTGTGGAGCTTCCCCTCTGAAATAGCACCGCAGTACTTTTCGCTGGGTTGATGTCTATGCGCCATTTTCGGAACCACTGTCCTAGGGCTAGGGCTGCGCTCTGAAGCTTCTTCGCGATTAGGGACTTGTTTCTACTGGAATAGTAAACAGTCGTGTCGTCGGCGAATAAAGCTAAAAGCTAAAAAGAGAAGATGCATGTGACTAAGAGATGTATGGAAATGGTAGTGCAAGGTAGAGGGGGAAGAAGTCGACCGAAGAAGACATGGATGGAGTGTGTGAATGACGATATGAGAGAGAGAGGAGTGAGTGTTGAGATGACGGCTGATAGAAGAGAATGGAAGAGAAAAATTAGCTGTGCCGACCCCACCAAGTGGGATAAGGTGGAGAAAAAGAAGAAAAAGAGACATTTATTCTTTGGCACCTTCTAACTGATTGTCAGTATCTACATTTCGAACTGAAACCTGTCTATGAGAATCTCAGGACATTTTCATTAAGCTTACGATTTCATTAAAAACTGCATTTGATTCACAGGCTGTGTCAGATGAACAAAAGATTAAAATAAGGGAACAGCTTGACAGAGCAGGCTTCGAATGTTTCAAAGATCACAAGATCACTGAAGACGACATTAAGAAGCTGAAAGCCAACAAACCTGCAACTGGAGAAAACGTGCCGTGCTTCATCGCTTGTGTAATGAAAAAAACCGGAGTTGTAAGTATAATGAATTACTATATACTAAACTTTATGAGTTCGAAACGAAATTGATTTCAAAAATTTTAGCCGCGTTTCCAATACAGCGCTATCCTATTTCTTCCCCTTTCACACCGTTTTACAACCCACTTTTGACGTCATTTTTCGTTCGTTCGTGTAACTCCCGCTACCCTTAATAGCCGGACCTGAGCTTGCCTACCCAACCACAGCAAGTATAAAATTAATAGGAATGTAAATACAGACAGATTTTTATTAGAGCTGTTAAAGTATACAAACTAATATGTACAGATTTTTTTTGGGACTCTTTGTGTATTGAAACTTCGAAGCTTTAATCGACTTAAGAAAAAAAAAAAGAAGAGGGAAGTGTCCTATGGACATCGGCTTGGAACGAAGTTCCCTTTGCTATGTTTTTAAAGTTGGTATTTCAAATAAGTTTCTGGAATATTACTCGTAGTGAAAAAATATATTACTATTTTCATATTTATTAAAGATATATGTTTAAAGTATTTTTGCATATACTCAAAATTTACGACAAACTGAATCGCTAGAAAAAAGTTTCAGTTTCCTTCCTGATCGGGAAGTACATTCAGAAATCACTGCAAAAAGATGTCGGTTTTTGGTGCTGCTTTTCATTGTTACACATTTTTCAGTCTAGCTCCTCAACTCATAAACGAACCGTGCGATAAAGAACACCGCTCCAAAAAAAACAAAGCAGAGTATTCATTGAGGTATTTTTAAACATCAAACATTAATCACTTCCAGATGAATGACCAGGGAGTGATTCGTAAGGAACCCGTCCTGGAACTGGCCAAAAAAGTACTCGCTAATGACAAAGATATCAAAAAACTTCAAGATTATATACATTCCTGCTCCCACGGTATTGTTATCATATATTTTCTATTAATACGAAACGGAAAAGCATTGAAACAAAGACAGAAAAATCATTTCATATCTATGTGGTAGAGCAACTTGTGATACCACACGGGTAGGTACCACGGACCACCACCATGCCTATTTCTGCCGCGAGCAGTAATGTGTTCCGACCAGAAGGGTGGGGCAGCCTCAAGTTAGGTTAATGACTACGAGCTTCAGTTAATTGTGTACGTCATACGTCAATTCACTTGTCTAAACAACTTACTTTTTGCTTTACAAAGTTTATTCTATTGAGAACCCATATGTGAAAGACAGTTTGCTAAGGAACCGTTCGTCTGTTTATATTTTTTAATTTTATATATACGTTGGATTGCGTGCAATGGAAAACATAACTAGTTTTATAAATTATTTTCCTATCTAACTGCTAGTAGACTAAGGGGTTAATCCAGCTACGCTCGAAGGGAACATACCAAAAGAGTTACCAACAATTCATCCCAAAAAGGACAGATAAACAGAAATGCTTTCGTTTTTTTATTTATTGTTTTTTTTATATTTTATTATAGTAGCTGGCCCGGCAAACGTTGTTCTGCCATATAAATTATTTCTAGGAAAGATAAATGACCTAGATACCGACTACAGCGCAATCGGCCGGGCTGATTTGTAAATCTAAACCATCTAAGGTGCTACCCAAACGCATTCTAAAAAGAACATTCAAATCGGTCCAGCCGTTTAGGATGAGATCAGTGACAAACACATGCACAGAAGAAATGTATATACCTAGTCAGGTCATAAATTCTGTCACATGTTTAATGTAAAATAATTGAAACAAGTTTATTCATTATGTAACCATTCATATACCAAAATGAACTTAATAAAATATAGATTCTTATGACAGTAAAGTTTATTCAAAATGACCTCCGTGATTTTGAATACAGGCCTTCAATCTGCGCGGCCAGTCGTCTATCGCAGCACGAACGAGGTCCATGTCAATATCGGCGGCTGCCTTAATCAAGGATGTCTTGAGTGACTCCAAATTGGGATGAGGCTTTGAGCACGCCTTTTCCTCCAAGTGTTGCCATATCTTGTAATCTAACGGATTCAAATCTGGACTGGAGGAGGGCCAGTCTTCGTGCCGGATGAAGTCGATTTCACGCGCCGCCAGCCAGTCTTGGGTTGATCTTCGCTTAGCGGTTGCTCGCTTCTCCTACTGTGTGCGTACCTTATCATTTTTTTGTTTGTTGTAGGCTTCTTCTAACGGGAAATCTTTATTTCCCGATATTTTTTTCCCGCGTACCGCTTCAACAAAGCGCGGCATCAGTCAGGTCCATTAGACGAGCATTCAAACGATGTCCTGTTTTTCTTCGATATGCCCGAAGCCCTAAGTCTTCATTTAACACCCTTTTCACCGTGGTTCTGCTTAACTCCATCTGAAGGGCCAACAGTTTCTGCTTACGTTTGGGATTTCTTTGAATTGCTTAAGCTTTTATCCTTGCTGAGTCATAAAGCAGACGAGGGCGACACGTCTTACCTGTATCTACACTTAGAGTCTTTATTGTATCGTTTTGATGGGTCGATAAAGGGATTTTTTGGTTATATTCAATTTTCGTATGTTAAAATTGATTGGCGCGGTACGTAAACGATTGGCAAGCAATAAGCAACACGGTCTTCTTTAAGTGTCCACTCCATATTTAAAAATGTAAAATTCTAAAAGTATACATTTTTATTTTCATGAACAATTCGAAATTCGAATTCAATAAACTTTTTTGTGGCCAGCATTCTAAAAGAAAAGTTTTTACTGTGTGACTTATGCCTGATACAGTATAAAGATGCGTTAGGGCACTCACATAATCGTTTTTTAAGAATTGTGTAATGTTTATATATTCAGTATACTCTTAAATGTAACTTTTCGCACATTATGTTTTGTATAATTCCGAGACGGTGCTGGTGGACAAGGGAAAAGGTTGCGAAATTTGCAATGCCGCTTATACGTGTATGTCGCAGCTTGATGTAAATAACTTTTGCTTGTTAATTATTTTTAAACTGGTTAAATACCCGCGCTGCGCGAGGGCTCGCGAGCGAATTGCCCCTGAACGCCGTGAGTTTCGCGGTCTTTCAGTGGGTGCGTTTCTGATTGGTGGTAGATTCTGGAAGATGCTCTTGCTAGGGTGGGAGTGTTGTAGACTGCTGGCCGTGGGACCGCCAATTTGAGCGGTGTGCTAAATAGCTCTGCAAGGTATAGCATAGGTAGAAAAAAAAGTTATACGGCAGTTTATTGAGGCCGTGCGGCTGGGCACCCAACCCACCGTTTTTAAAATAAAGTAGTATACAATCCCAGTTTGAAGTGTGGGCGGCCGTTTGTATATAAACTGGATTAGAATTCAGTCTCGGGTGGGTGTGCATCACGTCGATGATGGTTGTTGACTCCGGGTACCACCTTTTTTTTTTTTTTTTTTTTTTTTTTTTTTTTTTTTTTTTTTCGGGCTTTTTTCTGCGGGCCGACTCTAATCGAGCGTCCCGCGCCTAGGGGGCGGCGCGGGTATGTGGACTCACGTCTGCAGTGTTGAGAGCGATCGGGGCCAAGGATTTTATGGGCCCACCACTAAAGACTCCCCTGTACTCTTACACCCGACGTCCGATCTCCGTCGGGGTCAGAAACCGGTTCAGAGTAGGGGAGGTTCCGCGGTGCAACACTAACCAGAAACAGCGCGCCACCCGAGGACGCCCGACCGAAGGGTCGTCGAGTGCGATAGTCGACGACAACGAGTCGGTCTCCGCGGGTACGGCGGCCCTACAGGCCGCCCGGGCGGTCCGCTGTGTTCCGGGATACCCCGCTGGCAGACCGCCGCCGGGTCGACGCGTACACGCCGACCGGGTTGCTCTTCACAGTATTTCGGCGACGACAGCCGAGAAAATGCGACCGCTCGCAGTCCGCAGGCGCTCGACGGCGCCGTCCCGTTCTCCTGGTGCCAAGCGCGTAGAGTGACGGTAGCGTCGGCGCAGCCTCACCACCCTTAGTTGCCCCGTGAACACCGGGAGGAGACTGCCTCCTCATAGGGGCTGGAGCTGGACAAACGCCCTCCTCCGACCCCCGGCTCAGGCGCACGGCGCCGAGAGGGAAGAAGAGCTCTCCCTCTCCCGTTCCGCCGCCTCCTTCTGCGAGATGGTGGACTCGCAGAAGTCGAGCATCGCCTGCCAGGACTCGTCGCTGCCGAGCATCGTAGCCACGACGGTCGGAAGCGACAAGTCCGGTCCTATTTTTGCAACGAGGACGCGGCGCTGCTCCGCGAAAGCGGTGCAGTACGCGAGCCGTGTCCTCGTTGCAGCCACTGCAGTGGTGGCACTTCGGCGTCGGCTCCCTCCGGGCGACGAGGTGCAGGTAGCGACCGAAACAGCCGTGTCCCGTGAGCACCTGCGTCGCTCGGAAGGTGAGACGTCCTCGGTCGCGATTCACCCAGTCCGAGAGGACCGGGCGGATCGCCTCGACGGTCCGTCGCCCGTAGGCGGGGTCCGCCAGGCGGCGAGACCACGCCTCGAGCACGGCACGCCGAGATTGAAGTTTCCGCGCTCGAACTTCCGCCGCGCCGGGACGCGGCTCCCCCCTGGAGCGGAGATCGCATCGCCACGCGTAATCCGCAGCGAGCGCCTCCGCTTCTAGGTCCCAGGGAGGCGTCCCAGCTAGCACGCACGCCGCCTCAAACGAGACGGTGCAGTATCCACGAACCGCCCTGACCGCAATCGCGCGCTGCGGACGTCGCAACGCCGCAACGTTGTCACGGGTCAGGGCGTGGCACCACACGGGAGCCCCGTACAGTGCCATCGACCGCACCACCCCCGTGTAGAGGCGACGCACTACCAGGTCAGGCCCCCCGACGTTCGGCAACAGCCGACTCAGCGAGCCGGCAGCCGCCATCAGTCGGGGACCTAATCTTTCAAAGTGAGCGCGGAAGCTCCAACTAACACGAGGAGAGCCGCGAGGTTGACCACCCATTTTGGCAATACAAACAAATTGCCGCGCTGTTATACGAATTCTGATGATTTCATTGATTGAAATAACATTTATTTTTATTTTAGTTCGGCTTCAACATATAGCCCGACATCGCTTAAAAAGAAGATGACACATGAGGCCAATACTCGCCGACAAAATAAGAGCATCTAGTATGGTAATAAGTGTTATTTGTAAAATAGATTAGTTGAATTAGAAATAAACAGATTTTATTCATTATTTATTTGTCTTCTTTATATGAATGCTACAGTGTATTTTTTTAATTAAATAACGCTAACTAGCGTATATGGACGTATATGGATCGTTTTCAATTTTGCGAACAAAAAAATAACGATTTCATGAATTTAAACTTTCTCAAATTTTTCATTTTTTTTGTATTTAGGCATGTTCAGAATAGAAAATGTTTCATCACAATCAAGTCGATCACTCATTTATTAATAATATAATGTAATATTCATTTATATTTTTCATTTTATGCATTTGATAATGCCAACACGGATGACAATTTAAATAAGAACTTTTTTAAAAGCTTAGAAATATTTTAATATCGATCCAAAATGTTCTAATATCCAGATAGTTGTCCTTTATTATTGTATTATATACTGATTAAATAAAATTGCCTAATTTCAACACACATTACTGAAAAAATAGCAAACAAGTTAGAATTTGAATTTCGAACCAGTGATACGAATGAGAATTTGAGATAGTTTTTAATATATAACCATTGATATATAAAAAATACATTAATGTGTATAACTTCTAATTTAACAGTGTTTTCGAATATATAGTTATAGGACCACGTGCCTGTTGTCATGACATAAAATTTACTGTACTTATAATAATGGTACCATTAAAGTTATGAGAATTAAATCAAATAACTCGCTTTTGGCCCCAAATTTGAAAACGACCCAAATACAATCATTGTCCAGTAACAATGTACGCACTACATTCATTGATGTCTACATTAATAATTATCCAACTGTGTGCGCGCCTGTGTCTATGGGAAACAGAATACGAAACTTAAAAAAGTAGCTTCATGCACTGTACCAAACCAGTGATGCAAGCGACATCGCTGAGTCTCAAGAACTACTCACTATTAATTTAAGGAATCAAAGTTTTTTTTTTTTTTTGACTACTATAAATACATTCCTCGAAAACTTCCATTTATTAACTCACCTTTAAAATAATAATGATAAAGAAGCAACTTTGTTCAAAACCATGGTCATGACTGGTTTCACGAAAAACGATATTTGTTGTTGTATGCAGAATAATGCCCAAAAATAAACATAGGAAACAAGGAAACATCCCTATGTTTTACTCGTGTGAGAATCCGTCGGCTTGAGGCTGAATGAATACCGCTAGTGTCGGTCTGAAAAAAAGCTAGTCGTTGCAAATTTACATACCTACATATTTGTTTGTCATATTTAAAATATTGGAACGAAGTTCCTTATCGCGCGTTGTGAAAGGGGGCTAGACGGAAAAAATTCTTACGAAAAGTTGTCACGACACTTTTTAGCTCCGTCATTCTGACCAATCAACGTGTAGGCGCTTATCGCGTGACATTGCTCGTTTCCCATTGGTCCGCGTAATGAGTACAGTTTCTCGAGATAGCGTTTCAACAATAGTAATTTAGTTCATAGTATTGTTTTTTTCTTCTTCATAATGCCGTAATTTATTATTATAACTTAAAAAAAAAATTACAATTCCTTCACTAATTAATCGAAAGGAACTTCGTTCCATCCGGGTGTCCCTTGACACCTCTGAAGTTTTTTTTAAATGCTATNGGTCCGCGTAATGAGTACAGTTTCTCGAGATAGCGTTTCAACAATAGTAATTTAGTTCATAGTATTGTTTTTTTCTTCTTCATAATGCCGTAATTTATTATTATAACTTAAAAAAAAAATTACAATTCCTTCACTAATTAATCGAAAGGAACTTCGTTCCATCCGGGTGTCCCTTGACACCTCTGAAGTTTTTTTTAAATGCTATAATCATTCGATTAGGTTTCAATCATACTAACTCTAACTTCGGCTTCGGATAGCTTGCCGACCGAGAGGGCTGGTGGTCGTGGCGCCGACGACCGCCAGTCCGGCGTCCCGAGGGGGAGGGTGATGGGAGAGATGTGCTCCGCACTAAATACTTCACTTTCCCCCCTTTGCCTTTTCATGAGTTCTGTCTCAAGCTAGGTTTGGACGTTGGTTGTTGAGCGACAGGAGGTTTTAATCGGTACGACCAAAAGTAAGCTATTGATATCTCAATAAATCTTAATTTCAGGGCTATTTCTATCCTTACACAGTCTACACAGACTATTTCTGCCGCGAAAAGATTACAACAGTACAAGCTTATATTCAACTCTAACTTCATTTACTTCTATATCGTTCCCTCACTACTGAGGATCGCGACCACATGCGATGTACTTCCAATGCACCCGATCATGGGTGGCATGGACTGCATGGTACAAACTACCACCGAGTGCTTCTCTTGCTAGATCCGACCATCTAGCAACTTCATTTAGCGTTTATTTTATATATTTTAAACCAAGTGTGCATTAAATTAAAGATATTGTGAATAACTGAATGTAAGCGTTAGAAGGTTCGCCACCCGAAAGGCAAGAGTCACTCTTAATTGCATTTCGGTTTGAACGGCGTGGGCCGTGGGGGCAGCCGTTGTAACTATACTGATATATCTTAGAACTTTAGAAGTCGTCGTGGCCTAACAGATAAGACGTCCGATGCGTTTCTGTTTGAAGGGTGAGGCAGCTGTTGTGATTATACTTGAGACCTTAGAACTTATATCTCAAGGTGGGTTTAGGTTGTGGATGTCTATGGGCTCCAGTAACCACTTAACACCAAGTGGGCTGTGAGCTCGTCCACTCATCTAGCAATAAAAAAAAAACATATCTCAAGATAGGTGGCGGCATTTACGTTGTAGATGTCTATGGGCTCCAGTAACCGCTTAACACCAGGTGGGCCGCGAGTTCGTCCACCGACATAAGCAATAAAAACAAAATGTCCTATAAATTATCGTCCATTTCATATTCTTTTTTTCATTACCCCTATAGACGGTACCCCATACGACCCACCTGATGGTTAGTGATTTCGGTGTAGACCCGAAACAGTTAGGAGACTAGAACTTGAGTGAGATCCTTACTCCGGTTTCCGGCTCGACAGCATCGCCCCGAAACTTTGAATTAAGAAAACCCAAACACGACGCAAGTTCCTAACACCATGCCCCTTTTTTTTGTCACTTATTCTTGGATATATAAGTCAATTATAAAAACAAAAAACTCTGAATTTTATTTTTATTCAACAAATGCAATAAAAAAATGATTGCTTAGATATTATCAGGTAATTAATGAAACATCACAGGCTTTGTTCTTTAAAGTGAGAAGACCGAGAACTGAAACAAAACATCATACAAGGTTATCATACAAATTAACTTCGATAATATACGGCACTGATAAATACCTAAAATAGTCTTTTTAGTTTTGACTCTTTAAAAAAAATCAAAACCGTAACAATTCTCATCAATAAAATGCACATCGTACGCACATCACATACGAGCGTACCAAATGGAAATTTCTCAATGAAAAAATCCGCAATTTCAGTAAATAATTGTTTAGTTAGTTAGTTTAGTATGCCAACAAATTAAATCTTATTTTATTATCTTTACAAGTCGTTGTTGACTAAGAAGGCTATATTATCTTTGAACAAAACTGATTTATATATTATTTAAGTTTATTTATAGTATTGTTGTGGTTTTTGTAAGCCGCACAATAAATCTATGGCACGGTAAACAGCCAGTAAAGTAATTGTATTGTTATAGTCCATATAAATGTAGTCATAAATCTCAGACATTCAGGTTTTGCAGAGCGCTTCCAGCAATTGTTTGACTATCCCATCATCTTCATTTTACTTTAGCACCACCCACCACCAGAGCAGAGTTCATCTATATGACTTGGAAACACTACGCTCGTGTAGAGTCCGTTTCATCATGTATCATTCGATTCACTACGATTCTGGACTGAACTCTTCTCTAGGATATATAACACTCGGACAAAAAACACGGATATAAATCATCAATTTATAGCAGTCTACTGTTGGACATATCCAACTGCAAGCTATTGAGCACGATCCTCGGCTTCCTCATCCAGATCTTTGCTGAGTGCTACTATCGTGTATTCTTTTAACCAAGTTTTCAAACAAGTAAAGAGGGACTAAATCATAATCGTTCGACATCAACTAGCATGTATCCTTGTAAGACAAAAAAAAAACGATTTCACTTACACTTCCTTTGTTTGCAACGAAACAGTCGAGGAGAAGTTTTGCTCTTTCGCAGCCCTTGTCACTGTCACTGACTGGTTTGTCGTTTTCTGTAAAATAATCAATACGGTTTTAATCATATCTGGGTAAACGAACTAACGAATTTTAAACAGTCATAGCAGCCCATAGGCAACACAACCTAAGTGCTGCCCACCTTGAGAATTTGAAATTTAAACCTATTTTAAATCGGAATAAGGACTATTGTAACTTTCAAACCAAAACGTGTATATTTGCTCTTCAACATCAATTGGTACACGGTTACACACATAACTAATAACACATTTTAGAATCATGAAAGAACCCAACTTAACCCAAGTATGGAAGAGATTCAAAATATAAATAGAAATTAATTGTGTACTATTTGATCACACTAAAAAAATCTGCACATGATAAATAATAATAATAATTTAGAGCAAACTCACAAATAGCGAATATAGAAAATGTTTTATTATTATCCGACATTAAATCACCCGGCCAAATTATCAAATGTCTATGTATGTTTTACTGACGGTAGGACCTCTTGTGAGTCCGCGCGGGTGGGTACCACCACCCTGCCTATTTCTGCCGTGAAGCAGTAATGCGTTTCGGTTTGAAGGGTGAGGCAGCCGTTGGAACTATACGTGAGACCTTAGAACTTATATCTCAAGGTGGGTGGCGCATTTACGTTGTGGATGTCTATGGGCTCCAGTAACCACTTAACATCAGGTGGGCTGTGAGCTCGTCCACCCATCAAAGCAATAAAAACAAATATAATAATCATTGTCTGCGCTTTTTAAACACAACTGCTGTTTCAGCTTGCGGTCTACTGCAAACACGATCGCTAAGCAACGGTCACCGGTAAAGTATAATGGGCAAACGGAAATTTGTCTCATTACAATCACATCATCAAAATTTCACAGGTAAACAGTCAGTTTTCGATTTTTAAATATATGGAAGAAACTACAGCTTAGACCACGTTTAAGGCACAGACACAGCCCACTGAGTTTATCGCCGGATCTTCTCAGTGGGTCGCGTTTCCGATCCGGTGGTAGACGCTTAGATTCTGCGAAGCACCGCTTTTGTTAGGACCAGAGTTAGCAACACTCCCGGTTTGAGCCCCGTGAGCTCACCTACTATATAGTTCGGTGAATTTAGAATAACCCCTCGAGGTTACTAGAATAAGTAGGAAAAATAAATAATTGTTTAAAAAAACTAACAAAATACGCTTTTATAGAAAATCCAACTAAAAAATAGAAAACAATTTTTAATAAATTTGATTTAAAAATAGTGTAAGAAACATTATTTTATTGTAAAAATGCGTGGGGTGCTTTTCAGGATATTATCAAAATAACCCTTCTACTCATATCTGTTGATAAAATATTTGTAACTACTGATACCATGCACCCCACGGTTTTTTTACGATAAAATCATTTTTTCCTACACAAATTTTAAATCAAATTTATTAAAATTTATTTTTTATTTTTTAGTTGGATTTACTATAAAAGCGTATTTTGTTAGTTTTTTTAAACTATATTTATTTTTCATTTTTTAGTTGAATTTCAAACTTTCAATTTTGTTTTTAATATTGAATTGTCATCGGTCCTTAATAAGTTATACCAAATTTCGAGTTAATCCGACGTTTTGAACGGGGTCAAAATCATGTTCATAGATTCCGTTACATACTAACATACATACGTCTGAAGCTAATAAAAGCGTATTAAAAAGAAATAGACAACAAACCTGGAGCGCACGTCTCCGTTAGTTTCTCGAAGGCTTTCAAGTCTTCCTCGCTGGTAAGATATTTCTTGCTCTTCTCAATAGTAGCGGCTACATCGAAAAGACCACTTGCGTTGATCTGTAAAATAGACCATAGTCAATGTCTTACGAACAATTAAGCTAGCGATATGAAAAACTAAAATTATTTAATATTTGTTTCCAAATTTATACATCGACGCTTGAAACGCAAACATGACTAAGGGACAATGCGTGAACTTTACAGTAGACTAATCTAAAGTTGAAATACCTGAAAACAAATTTTATTTTAACGAATCTAGCTGCAGTAGAATCTAGCTAGTAGCTGTAGGATTGAAATGATTTTAATAGACCTAGAAATATATTTTTTTTGCGCATAGAATAAGGTTATTGCCTATCATTTATGTACAAAGCTGTAATTGTCGCTTAGTCACGTTTGCCTTTCAAGCGTCGACATGCTTAAATAGGAAGATCGAGCGAACGAATATTTAAAGAGGAAGATAAAATTTATGTGTAACAAGATGTACTTGATGATGCTATCTTGAAGGTTTCTCCTACATCTGTTTGTATTGTTTGTAACAAAGACAGGAAATACTTAATCACCAAATTTAATATATTCAAAGAATGACAACATTTTTAATGATAGGTAGGTATATAGAACAGCATAAAATTTATTGCTAAACTTTTTTAACTTGATTAATTCTAAAATCTGAAGAATACACTATTACGAAACTATTATAATATGCTTACGATTCCAGCTTTCTTCATGAAACATCCTACAAAGCAAGAGTTCAAACCGCTCGGGTCACCAAGTTTCTTAGCCGCGTCAATGTCGCCCTGATTCACGCTGAACTCTTTGGAGCATTCCGCTATTAGAGGCAATGATGATTTCGTTATCTCGGCCTTTTGTTCTTCTGTTAGTGCCTGTAGGAAACAAAAACAGTAATTATAATTATTTTTGAATTCGTCGTGGCCTAAAGGATAAGACGTCCGGTGCATTCGTGTTGAGCGATGCACCGGAGTTCGAATCCCAGGCGGATACAATTTTTATATTTTGCAAAATTATAATTTGCGTAATTACTGGTGGTAGAACCTCTTGTGTGTCTGCGCGGGTAGGTACCACCACCCTGCCTATTTCTGCCGTGAAGCAATAATGCGTTTCGGTTTGAAGAATGAGGCAGCCGTTGTAACTGTACTGAGACGTTAGAACTCATATCTCAATGTGGGTGGCGGCATTTACGTTGTGGACGTCTATGGGCTCCGGTAACCACTTAACACCAAGTGAGCTGTGAGCTCGTCCACCCATCTATGCAATAGAAAAAAATATATACACCAGGTGGGCTGTGAGCTCGTCCATCCATCAAAGCAATAAAAAATAAAAAAACTTCGAATGAAAAGCATTTTTTCATTTATTACCACGACATTCTGGCTTTAAAAACACTTGTTTGTGTTGAATTTTAAATTAAAACTAAAGCTATAATGGTATTTGATAATAGTTTAAGTAAATAATAGAAATCGATTTAAAAACCATATTGCTATTAGTTTGGAGATCTAATAAGATTTAAAATAGTTTTTTAGATATTACTGATTTGTTACACAGCTGGTGATAAGTAGTGGTGTTACTGATATTATAGTTTATATTGCATTTCAAGAACTTAATAATAAAAAGACTAAAGTTGCTAATACACGTTTTAAAATATTTTTTCAGAAAAGTAAATTTATAATTCTTTCGCCAAGCTTTCATTCAATGATGTTCGTGTTTCTTTTTACACCATAACGTATATTCATTACTACAAAATGCTTTCATGAAATATTAGATTTTAATTAACTATTTCATACACATACATTTTGGTTTAATTTCTGTAGAAACGAATGACTGATTACGAAATGAATAAATAAAATTAACTAAAGTAAACAAAAAAACGAAAAGTGTTATGTACTTTTACGAGTATATATGAACTTTTGGTGCCATATTATAGCTTTTTATTGTTCGTTTTACATATTCATATCCTGTTTTGTTTCGATGCAGATAGATATGCAGTAATTATCTTTTTGATGACCCCAAGCCAATCTGTTGCTACATGTGACGAAGTGCTAGTAACCGCGAAATACTTATTTCACTTACTGTTCACTTGAACAGGCCGTTAAAAATCTACATAAAATTTTAAATTTATGTAACTGTTGTTAAATAAAAATATGCGCTCATAAAGAACAATGAATTATTCATAGCCATGTACTCACATTTACACCAACAGCCAATGCACAGAATGCCAATACAACAAAAGAATTAGCTGACATTTTGACGTGTTGTACCTTCTTGTTCTAAATCGAGACTCAGTTGAGGGGATTACACACTCCCGTTTATATAATAACCGCAGATACGTGTTTCGGAAGATCATTAAGCATCAATTTACACTGTAGTCAATAAAAAACGGAACAAAAAATCACGTCTCACTTACATACCATGTACTTGATTATTATTTAATTTTTAAGTTTTTGAGGTCGGGATAAAATTTATATTTATCTTATCTGCCTAAATCATTAAACAGCTTGAAGCTGATTTAAAAAATCATTAATTATTATTGAAATACAGTCAAAACCGTTTACTGCGACATCGGTTAGAACAACATGCCGGTTATAATAACCTAGAACAAAGGCCCCGGCTGAATGCCATATGACCGCCTTATTAAAAACATTGCTTTATACGACATTGCTTATAACGACATACCTCATAAAACGACCACATTTAACTAATATTTCGGAGAATTAGATCTGTTAGAACGACTGGCTAAGCTGTATTGTAAACAATTTGAATAGGTATCCACTTTTGTCTTCAATGGCTATTAAAATCAGGAAAGAAAACAATAGGATTTAGTTTGGTGTAGGGTCTTTTCTAATTCTTAGAAACAAAACACGTGCATGCAGTAGAGTCAAAGACCGCTTCTTCATATCTCTTCAGTTAGTTTATTACTTATCTATACCTACACAAGACGCACCAAAACTTTGTGGAGTTATTCGTGAAACTTTCAAAATGTCGCAAAGTAAAAGAAAACAAATTAATATTGAAGAAAAATTGCGTATTATGTAAATATATTTTTCCAATAATTCCCTATCGATTTGTTTGTACTTGCACGATACACATTAAACATCACCGGTTGTTACGACTATCGGTTTTTACGACTGAATATGAGCAGTCCCTTCGATGTCGTTATAACAGATTTTGACTGTAGTTTGGAAAGTAAAATTGAAGTTCGCAGCATTCACTTTCAAGTAAATGAATAACAATTAAAATACAACGCAACAAAATACTATGCAATTACAACACCAATAAAAATGTGGTAGTTGCATCTAGCATGTAATAATATAGCACAGCGCACCTGGTGTTAAGTGGTTACTGGAGCCCATAGACATCTACAACGTAAATGCGCCACCGACCTTGAGATATAAGTTCTAAAGTCTCAAGTATAGTCACAACGGCTGTCCTACCCTTCAAACCGAAACGCATTACTGCTTCACGGCAGTAATAACCAGAGTAGTGGTACGTACCCGTGCGGACTCCCAAGAGGTCCTACCACTAGTAAATATGCACCAAGAAAACAATCACACATTTATTTACACTTTTGTATAGAACGACAGTATAAAGTTGGCAACAGTTGGCTGACGGGAAATATACCAATAATAGAAATATAGGTACCACCTGAATTTGGCAGCCAATCTTAAAACACCAGATCCTTCACTTTAATTACTCAGTGTCAAAAATATGCACGGTACATCAATAGGACAAGTCGCCGTCGACAAAACAATTTTACTGGTGGTAGGACCTCTTGTGAGTCCGCGCGGGTGGGTACCACCGCTCTGCCTATTTCTGCCATGAAGCAGTAATGCGTTTCGGTTTGAAGGATGGGGCAGCCGTTTTAACTATACTTGAGACCTTAGAACTTATATCTTAAGGTGGGTGGCGCATTTACGTTGTGGATGTCTATGGGCTCCAGTAACCACTTAACACCAGGTGGGCTGTGAGCTCGTCTACCCATATAAGCAATAAAAATAAAATAAAAGAACAAGGTCTTAATCTATTGTTCTAGAAATAAAAATGACATTTTTTAGCTTCTATTGTTGAAATAAATTTTGTTGTTACAAGGAAAAACCGCGAATAAAACATGACTAATCGAACGTGCAAAGTTCTTTCGACTTTAGAATTCGTGTAAAAAAGTTCTAAGCGATTAGCTTAATAATACTCGGACGTCGTATTGACGTATTTTTCAACCTCCAACGTTCGACTAAGTACTACAATTTATATTTTTTTGGTTTCTAATATGAAACAAAACTTTACGATTGAAGTTTTTTTTTTTTGCTTATTTGGGTGAACAAGCTCACGACTCACCTGATGTTAAGTGGTTATCGGAGCCCATAGACATCTAAAACGTAAATGCCGCCACCCACCTTGAGATATGAGTTCTAAGGTCTCCGTTTTTACAGTACAACGGCTGCCCCACCCTTCAAACGGAAACGCATTACTGCTTCACGGCAAAGGTAGACAGGGTGGTGGTACCTTCCCGTGCGGACTCACAAGACGTCCAACCACCAGTAAAGTGACTTTTTATCAGTGTTGTTTTCATTGTGTTTTTAACTGACCTACTGAATTTGTTAAAAAAACATTCGATTCACGTCCTAGAATATACACAACATTTTAGAGATTAAACTATGTTTAAAAACAACTACGCCATGAAAATATAAATACATTAAAAACAAATTCTCAAACTTNCCCGTGCGGACTCACAAGACGTCCAACCACCAGTAAAGTGACTTTTTATCAGTGTTGTTTTCATTGTGTTTTTAACTGACCTACTGAATTTGTTAAAAAAACATTCGATTCACGTCCTAGAATATACACAACATTTTAGAGATTAAACTATGTTTAAAAACAACTACGCCATGAAAATATAAATACATTAAAAACAAATTCTCAAACTTTACTGTAGGTAAACTTCTGTACACTCTTCTCGGTTGATAAAACATATTAGAAAAATTGACACTGCACACGGCAACATCGCCTCCGAAAACATTAACAACATACTGCCGCTGGCCTTTTTGGACCGTTTTTGTTGAACCTATTTCTGTAACCACCATATTTTTCTCTATCATTCAATACAATTCACAGAAAAACGTTAATCGATTTGATTTCGAGACGAGATAAGTCATTAAGTGCATTAATTATCGTTTTCATACGTGCTGGCATAATATTATTATACAAGATTTGGCTTTACTACTTATTTTAAATGTACATATATACCTAGTCAGGTCATAAGTTCTGTCACATGTTTAATGTAAAATAATTGAAACAAGTTTATTCATTATGTAACCATTCATATACCAAAATGAACTTAACAAAACATAGATTCTTATGACACTAAAGTTTATTCAAAATGACCTCCGTGATTTTGAATACAGGCCTTCAATCTGCGCGGCCAGTCGTCTATCGCAGCACGAACGAGGTCCATGTCAATATCGGCGGCTGCCTTAATCAAGGATGTCTTGAGTGACTCCAAATTGGGATGAGGCTTTGAGCACGCCTTTTCCTCCAAGTGTTGCCATATCTTGTAATCTAACGGATTCAAATCTGGACTGGAGGAGGGCCAGTCTTCGTGCCGGATGAAGTCGATTTCACGCGCCGCCAGCCAGTCTTGTGTGCTCTTCGCTCTATGAGCTGGCGCCGAATCTTGTTGGAATACCCAGTGCCTGTTATTGAACATGGTATGAGAAACAGGTTCCACAAGGTTCGTCAGGACTGTATTTTGATACACAACTGCATTCGTTTTTACACCTTTCTCACAAAAATGTACCTCTGTTAAGCCCCAATAAGAAACTCCCAACCATACCATGAGCGAGGATGGAAAATGACCTCGTTGGACACGCGGAATACGGTTGCTCGCTTCTTCACTACTGTGTGCGTACACCTTATCATTTTGTTTGTTGTAGCTGTCTTCTACGGTAAAAAATTTTTCATCCGAAAAAAGAATTTCCCGATATTTTTTCCCGCGTACCGCTTCAACAAAGCGCGGCATCTCTTCAGTCTCAGGTCCATTAGACGAGCATTCAAACGATGTCCTGTTTTTCTTCGATATGCCCGAAGCCCTAAGTCTTCATTTAAAACCCTTTTCACCGTGGTTCTGCTTCCCATCTGAAGGGCCAACAGTTTCTGCTTACGTTTGGGATTTCTTTGAATTCGCGCCTTCACAGCTTTTATCACTGCTGGAGTCCTAACAGACCGAGGGCGACCACTTCTTGACCTGTCATCTACACTAGAGTCTTCATTGTATCGTTTGATGGTATGATAAATGAATCTTTTGGTTATATACAAATTTTTCAGTATGTTAAAATTTTGAATTGGCGCGTAACCGCAACGATGCAACGCAATAACTGCAACACGGTCTTCTTTAAGCGTCCACTCCATATTTAAAAATGAGAAAAATTCTAAAAGTATACATTTTTATTTTCATGAACAATTCGAAATTCGAATTCAATAAACTTTTTTGTGGCCAGCATTCTAAAAGAAAAGTTTTTACTGTGTGACAATACTTATGACCTGACTAGTTATATATATATATATACTTTGCTTTAAGTTTTACATCCGGCTATCAGTAGCTGTATCGCTTAAATTTATTCGTTTTTCTAATGCTTAGATTAATGAACGAGTTCACAGCCCACTTGATGTAAAGAGGTAACCTGAGCCCATGGACATCACAACGCCAAGGCACCCTTGCGACATAATAAGATCGAAGTCTTGTATTCTATAACGGCGCCGCGGCGTCGTATTTGATATGTTTACTAACAACGATGTCCCGTTTTGTTGAAAAGTTAATACATATCGAGCTATTTCACTTCTTGGAATGAAGCTCCTTATGGGACAATGCGGAGGGGTACCCTAACCGGGAAAAAACGTCCGTAACGTAAGATTTTTATTAGTAATGCACACAGTGTACGACTTAACTTAGTAATAACGTACAAATTAGTAATGCACATAATGTACGACTTAACTTTGTAATAACGTACAAAAAATAACGACACGACACCACGCATCTTTTTTTTTTCTTAAGCGGGTGGACGATCTCATAGCCCACCTGATGCTAAGTATTTAGTTACCAGAGCCCAAATACATTTACAACGTAAATGCCGCTACCCACCACCGACGTGAGTTCTCAGGTTCTCAAGGTCTCAGTTTTTACAGTACTTCTTTATAACAATATATCAAGTATAGCCTATCAATATTAAAGTCGATGTCGATGATTGTTCCCTGTAGACTTTGAAACGGCAGGACCAATTTCGGAGTAACTTTAGGACTTTGACTTTACAGGTGATCTTATTAAGTTTGATATTAATCGGATCAAAGTCAAATCAAAGATAGACCAACAAGGCGGGCCGGGCCGGGTTTGACTAGTAACTAGTTATTAAAAATCAAGTAACTTTGCTTTATAATAATAGTACATGAGTCCGTATGCAGATGTTATTTATATTCAATATTAAATTCAAATTTTACTACTACCAAAAATTGTAATATCAAATTTGTGGCACATTGATGTTGTTATGTCTGGGTCCTATTGACTGGTGGTAGGACCTCTTGTGAGTCCGCACGGGTAGGTACCACCACCCCGCCTATTTCTGCCGTGAAGCAGTAATGCGTTTCGGTTTGAAGGGTGGGGTAGCCGTTATAACTATACTGAGACCTTAGAACTTATATCTCAAGGTGGGTGGCGCATTTATATTGTATATGTCTATGGGCTCCAGTAACCACTTAACACCAGGTGGGCTGTGAGCTCGTCCACCCATCTAAGCAATAAAAAATAAATAAATAAAAACTACATCCACGAAGAACTAGCATTAGTAAAAACATTCCTGCTATATTGTTTTTTTTTTAATTCCATGCAATTAATATCTGAATCTGTTTATTTCAACACCTTCGTTGTTTCAAACAATGGTGAATCGGCTAATCGATTAAGCCATATCATTGATTCAAAATACCGAGCATTGTCACGCAGGATATTGACAATGTCTTCGCGTTTTCGTTTAGTATAAAACGGCGGAGTGTCCAAAATTAAACATCAGTTCCCGACAAGACAGTTGAGGTACAAGCAAAATGACTTCGTTTATCGTCTTTTTTGCTCTGTCCGTTTTGACCTTGAAGTACTCAGACGTAAGTATTATATGTAATTATATGTTATTGTATTTAGTAAATGTAGAAGGAAAAGAAACACAGTGTGCTTATTTCATATACTCAAAGATCGTACAACGCTCTCCGTGTTCAATATTAATAACGCGTTTAGGGTGCTGGTGGTGCTGCCCCGCTTTTGTAGCGCATCAGGGATGTTTGCAGACGAGCACATAGATTGTTTTTACGCTACCATGCGTAAGAGGTGTGCATCTCTGGTAAGCAGAGTGAGGGCCAGCTCCAACAGTATCCTGAGCATGTGTATACATGGGTCGCTGTGGTGCCATCTCCCATGGGATGTTACGACAGTAATTCATTGTGATGTAAATATAACTACTAACATAGGTGTAAGTCTTACTAACAATTTATATGAGTCATGGTTACTTGCAATAAAAACGTTATTATTATTATTATTATTATTTCCAGTTTTTTAACTTCTCGATCACGTAAAAGTTAACTCAAATTTATATGAAGTTGGACAACGTTCCTACGTTTGTCGCTAAGATTATTATTATTATTTCCGTTTCGTATTAAAAGTTACTGTGGTTTGTATAAATTGTTTCGTATCAATCGTTACTGTGATTGATCGATTTTGTGGTAACGGGTGTTCAATGAAATTAAGTTACAAACATGAGATAAACCTGTACAGCACCTTTGTTTCGAATAATTCATAATTCATTACCAAAAAAGCCCATTACTAAAAAATAAAGCGATAAGTTGAGCTGTTTTACTTAAACTCCAATCAACAAGAATAATTTAATTGGTACGAGAAAAGACCGATACGAACCAAATTAACAACATTTTTTTTAGGTCTGTAACATTTACTATTTCTTAATACATTTACTAATGCAGAATGCAGTTGCAATCTGTATTAGCAAACCTACCAAAATCATCAAATAAAAACAACATTCACATTACAGGCACTGACAGACGAACAAAAAAATAAGATACAATCGAAATTCATAGAAATTGGAGCAGAATGTATTGTGGAACATCCTATCTCTATAGACGATATAAATTCTTTCAAAAACAAGAAATTCCCAAGTGGTGTAAACGCGGGCTGTTTTGTTGCTTGCATATTCAATAAGATTGGCCTCGTAAGTATAAGTCAACCAAAAATCAGATTAAGCTAATAATCTGATTTTGAAATAAAAAATCCGCATTTTGCGCTTTTTCAAAAAAAAGACACAAAATATCATATGTCAAATTCCCAAAGTCAAGAATATAGTATACAGCACTGAGAATAGAAACAATATCCATTTACTGAGTATCAAACAATATCCGTGACAATTATTAATATTTTTTTCATAAAACGCAATTTTTTTCCCCTACATATATGCTGGTATCCTAAGGGGCTATTCCATTTACGACCGGACGGGTAGATGATGTCACGGGTTCAACCTGAGGGAATTTGTTAACACTGGCCCAAGCAAGAGCAGTGCCTTGCAGAATCTGCCACCGGATCGGAATCGCGACCCAACTCACAATCAATGCGTAGGCAGCTAGCTGATGCTACCTGATTTTCAATTGTGTGACATTGCATGCAGTAAAAACATATTTTGCCTACCATGATTTCCTTATAATACCGTACCAGGAATCACCAACATTGCCGCCTGACTTCATATTCGTATTCAATAGAACAAAAGGTTCCTAAGTGTATCTAATATTATTATTTGAACTGTTTTTCTTAAAGGCCAATTTTTTTATCATTAGGATTGATGATGCGTATTATATAAATGTACGTTTTCTATTGACTCCAAACGTCGCAAGCAATCCAATTAATCATCTTTTTTAACAGTTCGATGACAAAGGAAATCTGTCACACAACTCTGCCTTAGAAAAAGCCAAGGGAATATTCAATGCGGATGAGGAAGTAAAGAATCTCGAAGAATTCCTTAATAGATGTGCTAAAGGTACGGGTATTAAAACCTTTGGGAATTGTGAGGTTCGAAAATTACATTACAATGGTTGGCAGTCGAGTTCACCACCAGTCTAGTGCTAAAAGGTTATTAGAGAGGATTAATACTTTATTGTCAATTCCAAGGTACAGTTTGACATAGGATCATCAGTCATCTGATCAGTAGCATAGGAATTCCAACGTACCTTCACAAGTAAATTAGGTCCTTTGAAAATTTTTAAATCCTCAAGTCGTAAGTGTAAAAATACAGCGTAGTGGAAGAAGTGGAATATTTTGATTTTTCTTTTCATATCTTTTTCAGTCAATGAAGAAGCCGTCGGTGACGGTGTAAAAGGTTGTGAACGCGCAAAGCTCGCTTACAATTGTCTCATTGAAAACTCTTTAGAGGTATGTGTTATATGTATTTTTCTTTTTTTTTTTATGATTGAAGAATTACTGGTGGCCCGGAGGCCTTTCCAGTTTCACCAGGACAGGTGGGCGAGCAAAGGCTCAGCCAGGAGGGGTGGGATTTGCTAACAGCTACCCGAGCGCTTCCGAAGGAGACCTAACAGCTCAAGAGCAGCTGCTTCGCGAATGAATCTACTACCGGATCGGAATCGCGACCCGCTGAGAAGATCCGGCGAGAAACTCAGCGAGCTGATTCATGGTTTAAGTTGCACGGCGAACTCTTTGTCGAGTTCGACGAGTACGGTTACCGGGGTCCCTAAGCCTGCTCCTAGTGTTAGAGCTGAAGGCGTCTAATGCAAAGGTTATTGGATCTGATGGATCCGTAAGGACGTGTCTAGGGCGTCGACGGTGACTGGCTCCTGCGTGATCAGGATTCGGGGCGTAGTCAGCGGCGGCAACGATAAGGCGATTATCATGACGCATAGCCTTATCGAAGTACCGTTCCGACGCTGACTTCATGTATTTCTGGATAGATTCGAGGCCCAGGTCGTCGTGTAGGTCAACGTTCCTCACGAACCACGGAGCTCCGACGGCTAACCTGCAAAAACGGGATTGTAGAGATTGGAGGGTGTCTATGTGTGTGCGGGCCGCGTGAGCGAACACC